TTTTCTCATTTTTCAGAAAAAATTCTACAGGTTAGAAAATCGTGATTTTTGAAGTTGCTCGGAATCACGATCTGATCATACCGTTAGATTCGTTTCGTCGAGAGGAGAAATCTGGTATTTTTGGGTATTTTTTTGGCCAACGGAAGAGTCCGTACGCGCCGCCCAAACGCCGCAGGAAACTGCCCGCGTCATCACGCAGTCCAAAGGAAGAAGACGAGACACGTCAGACGACACGCCATCGCCACGTCGTGGTGAGTCATCGACCACGTCATCCGCATAATCCGGCTCCGGTGCCACGTCATCTGCCATGTCAGCGCCACATCAGCGACACGTCAGCGCCAACGCAGAGCCAGCTGTTGCCATGTCATCAGCCTGCTGGTCTGCCCACTGGGCTGCTGCCTGAACCGGACCGAACCGGTTCGTACTTGTAGAGGCGGATTCACCCATTTCCAGACCGGTTTTGGACGAGATCAGACCGGTTCCTACCATTATTATGGGTAAATCATCGTCGGACACCATGATTGCGCTCACTTGCACAAACTACAATATGTGGAAGCCTCAGATGGAGGATTTGCTAAATTTGAGGGATTTAGATGATCCTCTTGATAGTAATGGCGTCAAACCGGATAAAAAGACGGATGAAGAATGGATAAAAATGAATCGAAAAACTGTCGCACAAATTCGACAGTGGATCGATCATAGTGTGTTCCACCATGTTGCTCAAGAACATAGTGCTTACACACTATGGGAGAAGCTTGGTAGCATGTATCAAGCAAAAACCGCTTGAAATAAGACGTTACTAATGAGGCGATTAGTAAACCACAAGTTACGAGGTGGTGTTTCGGTGTCAGAACACACCAGTCAATTCCAGGATCTTGTAAATCAGTTGAGCACCACCGGATGGGTTCTCAAAGAAGAAGAGCAGGCGATACTACTCTTGAGCTCTCTACCTGACAGCTGGGAGACTCTTATTGTCACTCTGAGCAATTATGCTCCCAATGGCAATGTGACTGTGCAGATGGTCACAAGATGCCCTTATGAACGAAGAAGCCCGAAGAAAAGAAGCCGGGACTGAACAATCATATGTCCTCATATCAGAAACTAACAGACGAGGGGGAGGCAGAAATGGAGGAAGAAGTCGAGGTAGAGGCCAAGGTCAAAATAGAGGAAACTCTCAAGTTCGCGGCAGATCACAAGAGAGAGGTATGTCCTTTGAAAACAATACTTGGTTTGAAGGATATTGCAATTACTGTAGTAATTATGGGAATAGAAAAAGAGATTGTAGAAAGTTTCTACGAGAACAGCCATAGACGAGTCAAAATACTAGCCAAGAAGATGGTGCGACCATGGTTAGTTTGTCATCAGACGTGTTACTTGTTACACATGGTGAACAAGAATGTTTACACGTAGGTACTCATGATGTTGAGTGGGTGGTTGATACAGCAGCATCATTTCACGCCACTCCACACCAGAACTTATTCACATCGTATAAGTCCGGAGACTTTGGAGTTGTGAAGATGGGAAACACCAGTTTCTCAAAGATTGTTGGCATTGGTGATGTGCACATAACAACCAATGTCAGATGTGCACTTGTGTTGAAAGATGTTCGACACGTTCCGGATCTTAGATTGAATCTTATCTCCAGTACAGCTCTGGATCAGCAAGGATATCTTAAACCGCTTCAAAGAAGGTACGTGGAAGCTATCTAAAGGTTCCTTGATTGTTGCAAGAGGCCATATTTGTGGTACTCTTTATAAAACCCATGCAAAGTTATGTCATCCAAGTCTCAATGCTGTTGAAGAAGAGACATCACCAAACTTGTGGCACCGGAGGTTAGGCCATTTGAGTGTGAAGGGATTGACAACTCTTGCAAAGAAGGAAGCCATTTCCTTGGGCAGAGGTGTTGCCCTAAATCCATGCGAGCACTGTCTATTTGGGAAACAACACAGAGTTTCCTTCAGTTCTACCAGGAAGAACCATTCACAGTTACTCAGTCTTGTCCACTCAGATGTATGTGGACCCATTGAAGAGGAGTCACTTGGAGGAAGCAGATATTTCGTGACATTCATTGAAAGGTATGGACTTACTGTCTAAAGAGTAAGGATCAAGTGTTTGATCGTTTCAAATTATTTCATGCCATGGTAGAAAGAGAAACAGAGAAGAAGCTGATGTGTCTATGTTCAGATAATGGAGGAGAGTACACTTCCAGGGAATTCTCAGCATATTGCGCCGCATATGGAATCAGACATGAGAAGACGGTTCCACGAACTCCACAACACAATGGTGTAGCCGAAAGAATGAACAAAACCATTGTGGAGAAAGTTCATTGCATGTTGAGTATGGCTAAACTACCGAAGCCATTCTGGGGTGAAGCTGTGCTGACAGCTTGTTGTCTTATAAACAGGTCACCTTCTGTTCCTTTAAACTTTGAAGTGCCAGAGAAGAAATGGTAAGGAAGAGATGTTTCTTACTCTCACTTGAAAGTGTTCGGATGCAAGGAGTTGAGACAGAAGCTTGATCTCAAATCAAACCCATGCATTTTCATCGGTTATGGAGATGAAGAATTCGGATACCGGTTGTGGGATCCCGAAGTGAAGAAAGTTGTATGAAGCAGAGATGTTGTATTTCATGAAAATGAGTTTCATGAGTGTGCCCCAATCATCAGCACACAACATACTCCAGAAGACAAAGTGCCTGTATCATCAAACATTCCTCTCAGCGACGAGGAGATGCATGATACTACTGAACAAGAGAGTGATGGTTCAGTTAGTGATGATGATGCTCACAGTGATGATATTCCTCAGCAGAGGGAGTCTTCATCTGAAGACGAATCTGAAGGTATTCATGTTCGACGTTCTATGTGAGGCATAGTTCCACAGAGAAAGTATTCCACATCCGAATGGATACTTGTTGCCAGCGAGCATCGCAGGAATGATAGAAACAAAGAAAAAGGTGGAGGGGGAGTTTTGTAGGGAATTTCCACCTTCTTTCTTGGAAGTTGCCAAGAGGCATCTCACACCTTCTTGGAAGGAACTCTCCAACAAATGGAAATGGGAAGAAGATATGGAGAAGATGGAAGCACTACCTCTTGTCTCCAAACCAGCCCTATAAATAAAGTGTTCTATTGTTGTTCATATCATCAGTTTAGAAAGTGAGAAAAGTGTGTGAAGAGTGAAATACACTTAGAGTAGGAGTGTATCAGTGAGAATTGGTTTTTTGTAATAGTTGAGTGTGAGAGTTTGCTTCTCCTATTGTAATTGTGTTCTTGATATTGAATAGAAGAATTTTCCAATCCCAACACTATTTGGCCAGCTTTCCTAAATTTCCTAGGGCTATTGAAATACTCTTGCAATCTCAGGGAGACAGAGATGAAAGGCAAGAGAGAATTAAAGTTGTGGATGACTATGTTGGTGTTTCATTTTCTCGCCCTGAGTTCTTCTCTTTCACATACGCCAGAAGCTCCAGGAGCTCCTTTTGTCTAAAAGCAAAACAAAAATCTCTGTGCGTTAAACAAAATTTGTTGAGGAATGAGGAAGGACTTCTTGTGCAATAACGTATTTTTAATAAAAAATATGAGCTGGATAAATTACCAATAAGATGTTGCCATAAAATTTTCCCTACTTATTTCACTATGCATAAATATTTCAATAGTACAATTTTTATTTTTACTACTACGAGAGTATACCTTCGTTTTTTAAAAATACTAGTGTAACACCCGGGGCATGCCCCGGTAGTGTTAGGTTGATGTTGTGCAATTTTTTTTGGAAACTGAATCGATATGATATTTATGCCAAGAATTCAACTCCATTAATAATTTAATATGGTTGATATTACAAAATTATTCTATTTGCCTTATATGAATATTTATAATGTGAAGTTTTTAAGATCTGATTTGATTTGATCTAAAAATTTCTAATCCGGTATGATCTGGTATGATCTCATATAAATCTTTATGATCTGATATGAGTTTTTCTGATTTTGATATGATTTGAATTATTCTGGCTTGATCTAAATATTTTCATGTGATTGAGTGTTTATTAGTATTATTATATATATTTAATACTAATTAGTAATATTTATAATTAGTATGAATATTTTTTATCTGATTTCTGTTTAAAATAATGGAGTACAAAAAAATTATAGCATTTTAAAAACATATTTTTTTCTCCTTCCCTTTCTCTAAATGACTAAATGAGTAGTGATACACGAAGTGAATAGCAATGGTGAATCGAGTCAACGTAAATGAATTAAATGTTTTAGTAGGAGTTATAGTAGATTTTTTTATTAATAAATAGAAATTCTAACTTCGTTTTCCTACATAAAACAATAATTTATATTTTTATTTTTTATATATGCAATATTGATGTCATATGAAAGATAATAAAAAATTATGATTTTTAATATTTTTTTTATGTAAAAATTGAAGATTAAAGACAAAAGTAATATGACTTTAAAGAAAAAGAGTTTTTTATGTTCCAAATAAGTAGTAGTGATGTAGGGATTGTAGGGAGTTAACGGTGAATTATTAATGACTTAAGTAGCAGTTATAAAACAATTTGTACTATCTCCAATCGCCTGCTGATACAAATCATCACACATCATTGTTTTTAAACTCAGTTTTACTACGAGTATAAAACAATAGATACCACGTTTATATATACGGAGTGAGGAAGTGGTCCAGCCCAGCTGTTCGCTGACTCACTTTTCCTTACGGAGTCTAAGAGTCCGTTTGGTAACACGAAAATCGGCTGATTCTGCTGAAATTTATAAAGTTCTGGTTGAAGTGGTTGCATTGGCTGATTCTGCTAATTTAAGAAAAAAATTATTTTTAAAATATATTTTATTAATAAAATAAATAAAAAAATATATGTAAAAATAGTCAAAATAATTATCTAAAATAACTTCAATCAATAGAGTCAGAAAAGTAAAATGCTTATCTAATACAAAAGTTAAATGCTCGATGAAAAAGTTGGTTAAGGCATAACCCTTTTAGTCTTTTACCAAACAGTCTCTGAATCTTTACAAAAACTACTATACATGGTCCCTCAAACGTGAGACGGTTCAAGAAGGAAGAGGCCGACTAGTAGAATCTGATCTGAGAGCTGGGAGGACGACAAATAACATTACTCTATAGTTTCCTCACCCGTGGGTGACAGGTTTCCTGAGCTTATCTGATTCCCAATCTTTTCTCGTCGTTTGATCTAGGGTTTGTGCAACTCTATATCCCAAACTGAAGCAGAGTCAATGGACGGCCCGTTGTCTGCGTCTGACCAGCAGAGCTTAGTCACTTCCTTCCTCGAGATCGCAGCCGGCCAGTCTGCCGATACCGCCCGCCTGTTTCTTCAGGTCCAATTTATCTCTTTCTCTCTCCCCTACATGCACTTTAGCATATTCGAATGCTATCATGACCAAACTGTCATTGTTATACGTAGTATGTGTTTTTAATTCACTCTGTAAAGGATGGTTCTTTTGGCTTCTCAAGAAGTCTGTAGAAGGATGAGTGGATTACGGTTTAATATTGGACGTGGAATCCAAAGCGTATACCTTTAAGCTCGTGGATGAATAGACAGCATGCTGCATTCTAAAGCTAGCATTTTTTAGGTACAACAAAGGGCATTAAATTAACATATATGAGAGACTTTCTAATGCTGGAAGTTAGACGTTCCAACATACTCTACTCTTTGATACTTTGAATTTGCCAAAAGACTCTAATAGGCCAATTACTTGGACCTGCAGAAACGCATTAGCAATCAGTGTACTAATATTAGGATGATAATACAACAACAACATCCAAGACTTTTTCCCAAAAGATTTTGGGGTCGGCTAACATGAATCTATCCATGATATCAGAGCTAAAAAGAAGAAAGATGAGAAAAATAAAAAGATAACATACATAAGATAAGATGGATAAGATAAAAATAACATAAGAACATAAGATAAATAAAAGATAAAAGAGATATAGAAAAAGAAGAGATCAATCATACATGCGCCCTCCACTTTGCTCTCTCCAAATCCATACTCTCATCATAGTTGTCTATGTCGCAGAATGGCGCATGCGCCATGAGGCACGCTTGAGGCCTCTGCTCCATGAAATAGCCCGTGGCGCTGGAAATACACATGGCAATGCCATTCCTTCGCCATCGCTATTCTCTCTCCTTCGCCATGGCGATGCGCCATGTTTTTTAACGCATCAGCCGGTATTGCTTTGTAATTTTCTGGGCTGTTGGGCCTGCTAAGTCCTCTAATTATGTGAGGCCATAACCTTAATAAAACTCTAATAAAAAAAATTAATATTTTAGCCCATTATACTAATAACAACCCTAACAAAAGTATAAATAAAGACACAAAGCCATACGAGTATACGACAGAACCAGAAACGAAAGGGGGAACTCGTTGACTTCTTCCAACTACAAAAGGTATGACTACCCTCTTTAATGCACTGTATTAATGAAGAAAACTTCAGTTTATACTTTATACACTTATAGTTTATACAAAACAGTATATAAATATATGATTCCTGAAAATGTGAACTTCATTTAAATATTTAATACAAAATCTGGAATGTGAACTTCATTTAATAAAAAACTTCATGTGGTTTGAGTGCTAACTGTTAAACACTTAGACTATGTTTGGCACAACGAGCTGAAACTGGAGGCTAACGTCTGAATTAGAGACTATTGTCTGAAGTAAAACCCATTTTCTGAAACTGAAGTTTCAAGAACTGAATCTGAATTACCAACTGAATGAAGTAGATCCGTTTGATAAAAAGAGATGAAAATGCCCGAATTATATAAAATTACATTAAAGGGCATATCATTTCATTTTTAATACTTCGTCTTCGGCCTCCATTTTTCTCACTGCTGCTATATAAATATAAATAACATTATACTCCGTATAGATTACCAGGCAACGAATGAATTGAACGAATATAACATCAACAAAAGTATTCAATCCCCCACATAAACTTTTGATTATGAATCATGTACACAAAGCACAAACAATTAATTCTCTGAAATTGTTAGTGGTCAAGGGTTGACAATCCCTCTGCTAATCTTCGCCAAGTGAAGTGAAGAAAGTGTATTGCAGATCCAAATATGCTAATAAAAAACCATACATATAAATCATACTGATCTACTAATCAAGGATGTTGGATTTTACTCCTATAATTGCAGCAGCCAACATAGAACGGCCTAAAAGACCAAGATACTTGCTGTCGTCTGCCAGCCCTGCCGTTCTTTCCATCTCCAGCACTTTCTGATTCCATCCTCATTGTTGTGGTCCATCTCCATTCGTGCCGCAGTTTCCAACCCTTTCCATCGTTTTTTTATAGTACCCTAGCTTTCCAGCGTTGTTGTTACGTTCCAATTCAATAATTTAAATGGGAAGTGTCGGACAAAAAAAAGAGAAGAACGTAGAGGTCAATCATAGATTGTTAGGAGAAAGAGAAGGATGGTGAGCAGGGATAATTTAGGCATGGAAGGGCATTATCTGATCGACTGAAGGGAAACACTTGGCCTGGTAACGTTTCTAATCAGTTCATTTTTATCAGCTTCAGCTAGGTTCAGTCTCCTATCCAAACAACATCATTCTTTCTATTTATGGGCTGAACTTTAAAAATTCCAGCTCATTATGAGCTGAAGGTGTACGCCAAACATAGCCTTAGACATAAACCAAAGCAACAGACCAACAGTTGATGATTTAGTTAAATGCTATGCTACATTGCCACTTTATCAATTTAAAGTATATTTAGTTAGATACTTAGATGATTTCTTCAGATAATTTAAATGGTATGTTCAGACTTCAGATAATTTAAATTGAAGTTCTTGGTTTTAAAAAGCGTGCTTGAGGCGCGCAAAGGCGCGAGGCGCCTCTAGACGATGACTTCATCGCATCCAAACATCCCAGGCGCAGCAGATTCCATAAGGCGCGCCTTTTACCTCGCCTAGTGCCGCCTTTTGCGCCTCTTTGAAGCGTCGCCTTTCACGCCTTATGGAATATGTCCGCTAAACTTCCTTCAAGCCTTTTGGCGATTCATCCCTCTCGATTTCCAGAATTTTCGTAGGGTAATATATGTATGTAAGGTAAGGTTACTTCACTCCATCAACTCAAAGTCTCAAACCTTCCGCTCCTCTGTCGCAGATTGCCATTTTTATGTTTTTTTTTTCCGGCCGTTCTCTTTGTTTCTTTTTGTTCGGCTGCGTAAGTTTCTTTCTTCCATTCTCTTTGTTTTCTTTCTTCCGCTAGTCTTTGTATTCTTTACACTATTATTTTTAAAATAAATAAAATAATTCAAATTATGTAATTATATAACCATATAACAATCTTCCCTAAACCCTAATCCCAATCCGAATTTTATCAATTTTTAGAAATAATAAATATGGTTTGTCGAATCTGTCAATCTGATTGTTTAACTTTATACTCTTGATACTTTATAAGTTTATTATATAATAATTAGTCAATTATATATGAGAGCTGGTTGTTATTAATAATCATTATATAAAAGGTTTTTTAAAAATTTACTATTAATTGCTTAGGATTTGAATTAAGTACTAACAGTTTATTGTAAATATATTTACTATTAATAGAAGTATTTTTTAGAAGAGTGCTTCATGTAGAAGTTGTAAAAATATATTTTACCAAAGATATATGGTTTCGATCAGTGAGGCGCGTGCCTCGTCGCCTTGCGCCTCGCGCCTCGAGTAAATCGATGAATCGCCTCATGCCGCCTCACGCCTTTTAAAGCTAAGTTGAAGTTTTTACTTTATGTTAAAATGAAGTTTTTACTTTATGTTCAGATAATTTATGTTAAGATAAATGTTCAGATAATTTATGTTGACATATCAATTCAGAATTTCAGATCAGTGTTTTTACTTTAGAACATTGTATTTATCATTTACTCTATCAATTTATCACAGTTAAGTGGGTTAGCATATCAATTTAGATGATGTTCATTGTTCACTTTAAATTGATACCAGTGTATATAGCTTATAAGACTCACCATATTAAAAAAGATCAGTGATCAAAAGCGTGAAGGTTCTATTTCTAAACAGGAAGCCAGTGATCAGTTTTTAAACTATTTATAGAAAAAGATAAGTGATCAAAGACCAGTGTAGCACACGCAATCTTAACAGGAATCCTTCCTATTAATTATAGCAGGAAGCCACTTTCTTAAAACAATCTATTACTATACTCACTAAGATTTAGAAGGAAGCCATTTTCTTGCAAGACATGAAACTTTTTTTGAATATTATGTTTTTTTGGAAGTACTTTAAACTATTTTAACTTGACAAGTTTTGGTTAGAATGTTGTTATTCAAGTTTTTTACCGTGTTTTGGTGATTGGGTTGATCAATTATAGCGTCTATAATTTGTTTTGAAGTTTTTTTTTTGTCACGTGGCGATGCCATATTTGCACCATCGCCATCACCATGGGAAAAGGCCTCTGCGCCATGGATGTCGCCATGCACCATGACAACTATGACTCTCATATACTGATATTAGGATGATATATTTGGAAATTTGTCTATGGTTTGTTTTTCTTGCACTGACCATAATCAAAATTGCAAGATAGGCATTTTCATGATTTGCTATTAGCTCTATAGCAGAAAGGTATATTTATTGCTTTATTGTGGGTTATTCATAATGCCTCTGTGCTTTCTTCCTTTATTGTGGCTCATTCGTAATTCCGTAAACAGCCTCTCCCTGCTTTAGTACAGGGTAAGGCTGCGTGCATCTGACCCCCTTACCCCACCATAGGTGGGAGCCTTTGCGGCACAGGGGTAATGTTGTTGTGTTTGTAGTATGGATATCCTTAGTAGCTTACCTCCTTCACATTTTTCATTTGCATAAAATTTATGTGTCAACTTTTTTATCAAAGGCAACAAGTTGGAAGCTCGATGAAGCAATTCAGCTTTTTTATGTTGGCAATGATGGAGAAGCAGCTGCACCATCATTGACTTCCCCATCGGCAAGCACTATACCTTTGCCTGATCCTAATTGGAGGTATCTTTTGACTGGGTGGAGGGGGATTCATATTGCATGGCAGCTTGTTAGGTGGATGATGTGAGTGTGTCTCGTGTGAGGGCCGGCGGGACGCATAAAAGAAACGAAACATGTTCACATCAGCAGATTAATTTGCTTGGGAGCTGCCAAGCAGTTGTATAACAAATGTGCTTGATAATTTTTTTCTCATATATTCATAATTATATTTAAAATTTTAATTAGCGGAGCTAGAAAAGAGTCAGGGGATGAAAGTGGAAGGCAAGTTGATGGTGATGATGTAAGGCCACCTTTGCCTGTAATAAAAGAAGTTCTTTATGATACTGCTGCACTTCGTGGGTACGTCTTTGCCTTCAGTATGTATTATTTTTTTTTATTATCAATCTTTGTGATGCTGGGTGCTTGTTTGAGCTTTGTTTGTTTTATTTCAATCGTGTGTTCCATTAAATATAATTTTTCCTAGGTTTTTCAATCTTACCCCCTCTCCGCCTTCCTGTTTTAAGAGTTGTCGACTCTGAAGTTAAGGAGTCAATAAATTTCTTCTTCAAAATTGACCTAAAGTGTTAAGAACATTTTTATTTGTTTCCAAAATTATTGCACTCAGTGTCACTCAGCTTTAAAGGAAGTCTAGTTTATTTTAAATGAAACCCAAACTACTATATTTGAATTTGGTAATGTGTGATGAAAGTTACTGTTTTTTCTGGGTACATCAGAAGGGAGTACTAGTTCCCTAATACTGAATAAAAAACAGATCATTTCGATATATGTTAGTTACAGACTTAGAGTCAAAGAGTTATCCATATCCAAATCTGTTATTGCATCTCATTCGGAAGACTGAAGAAAATGCAAATTCTGATGCTTTTGTGAACTCTGCAAATTCTCTCCGTAACCCGAATGAGCTAAGAGGCCGGACGATATGGGATACTAAAAGTTATGTGTGCCGGGTGCAGGCATCTGGGCCAGTAAAGTGATGAGATGAAGGGTGAGAACTTGGTCTAATCTTAGACATTAGGCCAATCCTCCATAACCTCTAGGTTGTATCAGATGGTTTGGGGTATACCTCGTCCAGCTCCTTCCCTCTTCACTCTTCTGACTCTTTTTATTTTTAGGAAAGAATTGTGTGGCTGACATGTTCTTTTCTTCCTAAGTAAATCTTGACCCCACAAATTCATTTTCCTAAATACTCCAAATTGGGCACTGGCTGATAGTTATTTTTTGCATAGTGTGCCTGTTGTTCCCTAACTTTATCATTAAAATATTTGCTTATTCTGTTAAGCTCTCTAGTGTTTTTCTAGTTTTAACATTTTTCTGTTTTCTGGTTTTTTTAAATGCCATATATTTATTCCTTTCCATCATTTGCAATGGAGCCAAAGATTCATTATTTTTTGGCTTGAGATTATGATGGAATAAAGCAAAATGGCTCACTAAACTGTCTGCGCTTCTTTGTAATGAAGCAGCAGTCAGTCCATGCAATTTTGGACGCGATTTTCACTATGGGTCATCCGGAAACAGTCTCTCTGTGCTTTAGTATAGGGGTAAGACTGCGTACATCCGACCCCCCCTTACCCCACCGTAGGTGGGAGCCTTTGCGGCACTGGGGTAAATGAAAATGAAAAAAAAAATGATATATTTATTCCTTCACGGCTTCACCTGATTGTATGTAACTAGTCATTGATTAATTGGTTTTAATATATTATTGAAAATTTAAATTATTGACATAAATTCTTTTGCAATGACATACCTTTTTCATAACAAAGAATATTACAAACGCTTTGAGTAATTAATAATCCTATCAGCCAATTCAGCCGAAGTAGTATAAACAATGTCATTTCAGCTACATCAACCATTTCAGCAGTTTCCAAACAGGCACTGTATAAATCATGAGATTCTTCATTTATGAATTTCAGCGGACTATACATGCTGTCCTCTTTGCTGCTTCAAGCGTTTTCGCCATTCGTACTTGGTGATGCACGAAAGCAGACTAAAGATATCCCTTTAAGACTTCAAGTTAAGAATTTAAAGTATAAAAGTTATAAAGTACCTATGGACGGAACATCTTTGTTGTCTCCTCAAAGCAAAAATAATATTACCATATATATGCTTCTAGTGCAGCTACTCCCATTGTGTATTGGAATCTGAGTTCTTTTTATTTATAAAAAGTGTTAATAGGAATCATAAATTATTCAGTATTGCTATAATTTCATTTCTTGATCACTGTTATCACTATCTTTAGACTACCGGTGGTGGGTGGTTCTGCACGTGAAGTTCGTCAAGTAGTCCCCTTCCGCAATTTTCAGGAGGAAATGAAACACCAAGGAGTATGGGAAGCAGACAGAGGATCTACTTCCGCAGCAGATAACACTAGAGCAGATAATCTTGCCTCTTTATATCGCCCCCCTTTTGCTTTGATGTACCATGGATCTTTTGAAAAGGTAAATTAGGCTGTTTTGTACTTTAGAAGGGTTATTAATTGCTTTTTAAGTTCGAACAAATAATTGAATATCCTGCTGGTGCACATATTTTTGCTCTGCGACTTTCAAGTAAACTTACATACCTTTTATAACCCTAGACAGACGTGCACATACACACACACACACAAATGGGTGATAAGTTAATGTGATATCTTAATCTCTATAAACGATAATCATCAAAATTTAAATCATATAGGTTGAGTTTGCTTTGCAATCTATATTTGTATCAATGTGATAACTTGTTCCCAAAAATAAAATTATTTGAGTTGCAGGCAAAAGATGCTGCTAGAGTTCAGAACAAATGGCTTCTTGTGAACCTTCAGTCTACCACGGAGTTCAGCTCACACATGGTGGTGTTTTCTTCTTCTTAACATCTGCATGACTGCATCCACTTCCTAGTGCTTAGTTGGTGTAAAAAGGAACCTGGTTAACCAAGTATCGTACACCTAGTTCTGTGAATAAACATTTTTAACAACTGTTGGTGAATGTTCATTCTAAAACAATGGATAACTGAAGGATACAATTTATTTCTAAATCAATAAATATTGTACTTGTGAATATTTCCTCAAGTCCCACCTGAACGAGTATGAGTTGTTCTGTGCAATTATGAATGAGAAGTGGTAAATGGTGGCCCGCATATTTAGAAGATATCTTAATCTTTTGTTTCCAGCCTTCTAACATGCATATTTTCTTTGAAACATAATGTTATCTTGCTACGCACTTGCTGATTTTCTTTTAACGTTTATTTTGAAGCTTAATCGTGATACGTGGGCCAATGAAGCTGTTGCTCAAACAATAAAATCTAACTTGATCTTTTGGCAGGTCTGGTCCTCTAAACCCTTCCTTTTTATTGGGATGGATGATGTGATGTCTAGAATCTAACTATGTTAAGGATTAAACTTTTCAATACAGCCTTCTAAATGTCTTAGTTAATGAACATTAACTAGTCGTGCTACTTGGATAAAGATGAATAGTTGCATTTTATGGAGTAGCCTCAAAGTGGTTTTTGGCAATCGAAGGGTATGGCAACAATAGACAGAGGTACTACATGATGGAATGATGACGTAAAGGCGGCAGTCAAGGGCAAATTGAAATGTACCAACATTTGAAAACTCAAGGAACACAAACCCAATGGGATACTCATTCAAGTTAGGCGCCTCTTATTTTAACATTGTTTTTGGTGAAAATACGTGAAATGCAATGCAGTTCATAATGTTTTACCTCAAGTGGGAATTGTCATACCATTTCAAAAACATAGAGGCAAAGATATATCCAGAAACGTAAATAGTTAGTGTTATTTAAATTAGGAAAGTAGATATTACTTTAAGACGAACTAGAAATGTGAGTAAGAGAAAGGGAGCATGAAAATGCTGAAGGAAATGTGCAGCCAAAAGTGCACTGGGGTTTGTACGACAAACCAGCCTCGAAGGAGCAAGAAGTACTCAACTAGTCAACACAGAGGAGATAGTTTTATGTAATATGTATCTACTAATCTACTGATGACATACTTTTGTTAAGGGTTATCTTATGTATGAATGAAAAAACATCATTTTACCCCCCAAATTTAAAATTTTAAAAAAATAAAAAAGTGTGCACTCACTCGGGCCGCCCTGCATCGTCTAATCAATCCAATTAGGGCAAAATCAGGGTGGAAAGGAACCATCTATGGTCCAGGAGCCGCAATTTGCATAGCCACCACCTTCGGCTAGGTTTTGATTTGACTGTATTTTAGAACATTGTTACGAATTATGAAAGCATAAACTCATGAGTCTTACAATAAAGTTATGAGATCAGTTAATAGAGTAATGGTTATGAAAATGCTTTTGAAATACGTAGTATTTTGTATAGTAGAGAAGTAGAGAACCATCAAAACTGCAAACCAGTTCGTGTTTATGCCCGAGCGGTTAACAGCAGAGGAAAGTCATCTTCAAGACAAGTCAGAGTGTTATCTAGTTAAGAACGGAGAACATATGATTTTTTATACTCCGAGAAAGCTCAGAGTAATTACCTAGGGATCTAGGATATGTTTAACAAATCTATGGGTAAGTGTTAATAAGTCCCTGAAATATCCCAGATAGGATGATTGACCCCTCAAAAATGAAAAGATCCATCTAATTATCCATATTCCGCTGATTATTCCAAATTCCTATGTAAACAAAAATCTGAAACACTTGTTCCTTACAATTCCTTTTCCACCAAGCAAACTACGCAGTATGAAAATTTTCCTTCCAACCAATTCCTTTTCTGTGAGGGTTTAATCATCTTAAGCACACTCTTGCTTGACTTTGCATGGGATTACCGTTGGAATTAGTTGCAATTTAGAAGTTTATAAGGTAGAAGTTAGTTACTCAGTTGCAAATTACTTGTAATAAGGTTAGTCGTGAAAAGTCAGTCATATTCAAGGTTGTTAGGATCGTACGATTTTGCGATCGGAAAAGGGAGGCTCAGTTAGATCGACGAGTAGAAACGTAACTCGTACAAATCGTCGATCTAACTGAGCTGTGACTTCTCAGCTTAAAAAACGGGAAACAAAGGGCGGACTGAAGTCTGGAATGATAAGTTTTAAAAATAAATAAACATCCGACTTACGATGAATCTTCCTTGCTTCGTCCGCTTTAAATCACTGTTCCTCATCATTTTCTTCATCTCTTCTCTGTTCTCGCTCTGTTCTCTATGTCATCCGCTTCTTCCGCTTTAGTTGTTTTCTTTTTTGAAAGTCGACCGCTTCTTTAGTAAGTTTAGTTGTTCAGCTCTTTTGAGTTCTGATAGCAATAAGTCATGATTTTATATGAAGATTTTATTTTTTTATGTCAAATGTTTTGGAGTTTATCTTTGAAATTGTTATGTTAAGCGTTTTATATTATTGCCTCGAGTCTTGACATTATGTTATTATTAATTTATCATCATTAATTATTAATATTAATCCGGTGTTTACATAGAAATGAATTGTATATGTGTGTGTGTATTGCATGGCAGGATCTTATGGTCCAATTTACGATCTCCTAGACCCCGTCCGATCCCTGCTAGGATCTCGAGTTTAACAACCTTGGTTGTATTAGTTGGCACATACACGTTTCCTCTATATATGGGAATATCATGTACTGAAGATTTATTATGAATTACACAACAAAGTTACTATTTAAAATATAATTATTACTCCCTCCGCCTGCTGAGATTGTCCCATCTTTCCTTTTCTGTCCGTCCCACTAAGATTATCCCATATCAAATTTGGTAAAATTTGTGTGATTTTAAATCATTCTTACTTTGTTCTTAGTTTATCTATTCAATATTAACCACATAAACCCACTTTTTTTAATAACCACACCACCTCCTCATGTCCCAATTTTAGTGGGATAGAGGTAGTAGAGTATTAAAAGTGAAATTGTTTTTGTCAAATTTGAAAATTTATAATTAAATTTGGAATGTATTTTGCCAAAGTGAGGACCAATTCACTAAAAGAGTATGATGTGTAAACTTTGCATTTTAATAGTTTTGAATATAAAATGGTTGTAGGTTGTAGGGCCCCTCTTACTACTGCTTTACATCCTTAACTGAGTTCATCATCCACAGTCACTATAGTTCTTTACTTATCCTTTCACTTTGAGTGAATGATTGTTGACTCTTGTTCCATACAGGTTTATGATGATACAGACGAAGGCAGGAAGGTTTGTACCTATTATAGGTTAGATTCAATTCCTGTTGTCCTGGTGGTTGACCCTATAACAGGCCAAAAGATGCGATCATGGTGTGGGATGATCCAACCTGATACTTTGCTTGAGGTTCATTTTCTTTATTTGGTTTGTGTTGCCTCAAGTGCCAGTGATTGCATAAATATGTAACTATCTTAAAATAAGAAAGAAAAATCTAAATCTATTGATTTCTGTGCAATTCACTCATGATAAAAACATGTTGTGATGGTTTAGGATCTGCTACCATTCATGGATGATAGCCCATCAGATCATGTCAGTCAATCTCATAAACGACCCAGAGAAAGCCCTCAAGCACCTCCTCTGCAAGTTCAAGGTACTTTGTCTTTTCATTGACTTCTAAATGGATTATTATGAACCTCCACCCCTAAAAATCACACTCCAGGAGATGTAAAGATGAAAGTGGGAAAAATGTGAGTTAATAATGTATTCCAGTTGATTTTGCATTTCTTTTTCAGACACTGCTTATAAATAAATACTCATTACATGAACGCAGTTAATGTACAAAGCTTTTAGACAGTTAAACCCAGGTTGCTAGTGGTAATAATGTTTGAATCAAGTTTGGAGCTCTAAAAGCTTCAGGATAAGCTTCAAGAAATGCTATGAATTTGACAAAATATTTCCTCAAGTGGGAATGTCAGCCATACTTCTTTGTTATCTTGAAGTGTGATTCTTGCACTCTGAATTTTTGATTGAGAATTTCTCTGCCCATATCAGTGCTCATGATATTTACTTTGAAAACCAATGTCTGCACTGATGACTGGTTTATGATTTGGTCAGCAATTGAGAAGCTTACTGGAATATCAAGAGTTTTTACAGATTGCAGTGCTTTTACCTTATGTTTTTAGTATGATACATATGAAAGATCATTGTATTGGACTGGTCCCTGCAGATCAAGCTAAAGAAGAAGATGATGAATTGAAACTAGCATTGGCTGCTTCCATGGAGGGGATGAAAGATGCGAATATATATGCTGCAAAAGAATCCAGTGAACCCAATATTGAAGGAAAAAATATAGCAAACATAATGAAAAAGCCTGTTTATCCCCCACTGCCTGAAGAACCTAAGGGTGATCGAAATCTCCTTTGCCGAGTTAGTATTCGCCTTCCCGATGGGCGGAGATTACAACGGAACTTCTTACGCAGTGATCCGATTCAGGTAATAAAACTTCCTAAAGGAAAGAACTTTGAACCTATACCTTTCGAGGTGTCCTAAATTGGTAGTATCACTTCTTTTTTGGCATAACATTTTTTGTATAAAATGTCCATTTTAACCTTGCTTTTAGGGGTTAGTCATCTTCTTTTTAGAGAGGTAATTTTTTTACTCAAGGGAAATTGAGAAACTTAATCTCACTTTCATAAATTTTGTGCTAAAAAAGAATTGGACTATCAATTTGAGACAGAGGGGCGTAATTTTCAATGCCTATTTACGAAATGAGAAAGCACTTCTTATAAAAGAACTTGGTTTAAGTCATCCCCAATAGACACTATTTTTAATGTTTATTTACTATAGGGGAAAACACTTGCAAGGCTCCAATTGGTTGCATTCCGTTGTCAACTTTGCTAATTTCTCTGTTTCTCTTCCACTCCAATTCTCAGTTGCTATGGTCCTTCTCATCTTCTCAGCTGGAGGAAACTGAGTCGAAGCCCTTTCAGTTGACACAAGCAATTCCTGGGGCTACTCAGTGTTTGGACTATGAGAGTAATGTAACCTTTGAGACTTCAGGTCTTGCCAATTCCATGATTTCAGTGACATGGGATTGAAGACCAGAACTGTGTTTTTTATAAGCAGCATGTAATCCTTTCTAAGAGAGAAAGAAATTGAAGAATTTTTGTTTCAACTGCTTCCTTAGATCCCAATACATTCTGGTCACTGCACATCTTTAATCTATACCAGAAACCTAGAAAAGATAAGGTCGTATAGTGCAAATTGTTTTTTTTTTGTTTAATTATGAGTACGATGATGTGTATATTACAAGTGATCTATTCCCAAGAAACTGCTGGGTATTCTCTTTCTATGTATTTATCATTTTATCTATTGATTAAAATTGTTATGTGCTTCAGCATGTACTTGTTAGAAGAGATTGCTCGTTCTGGTTAGAAAAACATCTTACCTGAAAAATGATGGGATGACACAATATTAAAACCTAGATTTTGGACTCTTGAGGATTATAGAATTAATAATTGTTTTAAGCAGTACTCTATGATGATGTCTGGTGCCCGCTCAAAATCCTCGAGAGAAATGAATACAATGGTTAAAACCCGGTACAAGAGGTACGACATAGTGACATTATGTAAAATTGAATTATGCATTAGGTCTCACTGAAATGTGCATTACGTGAAATTAAAATTTGTTGAATAAAATGTACGCTGTAGTGTTTGGATTGGATGAGATGTCGAAGCAATGAGCGTTGATAAAAAACTAGAGTAGTTTCAAGGCTCTGTATGATATGAGAATAATTTTGAGGCTAAATTATTTTGTTTGCTTTGACATTGTATTATGTATATAATAATAATAATAATAATTGTAAGGGTAACAATTACACATAGTGCCACAATGATAGATAATATTAATTAGAATACATTATTACTATATAGTTGTATATAAATCACACCAATGTCACGCACGAGTCACAACGTGTTGGTTCCTTATGGAACACCTACATGCGTTGACCAGAAATGTATTCCATACATGTTTCTCTTCTATGTGTAACTTGTGTGATGAATAGGCATCATCATCATCGTCTTGACAAAATCATCATAATTGACTTGACCATCACCATCTAAGTCGGCTTCCTTAATCATCTGCTCGACCTCTTCTTCGCTCAGTTTTTCTCCCAAATTTCTCATCACATGTCTCAACTGCATAATGCATGCATGCATGCATGTGTCACGGGTCTACAATATGCTAAACATTTTTTTTTCCACACATTTTGCATAAGTGACGACTGACGAGTGAAAATTTGTTAAGATCCGTACGCTCGCCTAGGGGTGGACCGAATCGGACCAAACCGGCCCGTGAACCAGACCGGCCCGCTACTGTGCGGGCCTGGACTGGACCGGGATCGGATGGCCGGTTCCGGGCTTTAGCCCGGTATGGGCGGGCCTGGCGGGCCAGGCTCGGGCCCTATTTTTCTTGAACCGGTCTGGGCGGTCCGGGTCGGGCCCGATTCATTTTTTTTGTTTTTTCATTTTTTTTTTCTTTTCCTTGGGTAGGGCTGGGTGTTTTGGGGAGGTTTGAGGGGTGGGGGTGAGAAGGGGGGGTCGGGGTTAATTAGAAAGCAAAAAAAAATTATACATTGGACCGGCCTGGCCTGGCCCGATTTGGCCCGGACCTGGTATCAACCCAGGCTGGGCTCGGGCCCAAGTTTTTTTAAAAAAAGCCCGCTATGAATCGGTCCGGAGCCCGTCCCGTCCCAAGCCCGGTCCATGCCTACGCTCACCCAATAAAATATCGATCTTTTAGGCGATTACACAATAATAATATGTTTTAGTCAAAGAAACCGATTGAACCGATAGCCAACCATCCATATGAGCCAATATTTGAATGCCATTATTTTGATTTAAAACAAATTATATATTTTGTTACAAAAGAATTGAACCATTGATTCGAAACTCATTGGAGTCGGATATTTAACTAAAAGATATACTATAGTATAATAGATTAGAGAGCAGAGGTTGTTTGTTAATTGTTAGTGAGTACTACAAAGTAAAAGTGACGTACCCCAGTAGACGAAATGTACCCATTTTGGTCTTTGTCAAGCACCTTAAAGGCCTCTGCAAGCTCCTCCTCTACATGTAAATCCTGGTCATTATACATATTGAATTAATTAATGAATGTGTTTGTTCAAATGCGAGCTGGCTTCTTACAAAGTAATGTTACTTTAGACAAAGCGGCGGCCTTGAATTTGCTGGCTATGAGGTTCAAGAATTGTATGAAGTCTATAAAAGCAGTGGCAGAGGACGCATCAACTTCATTGATCATGTCCCGCAGCTCATCACCCTTTACTCTGATCACGCCGCTTAATTCTTCGAGTGTGATGCACCCTACACACAATACTACTAGCTAATTTGTTGTTTCGAAACAAAAACATAATTCAAACTTATAATTAAGTAGTAACAAAACAGATTGAAATTTGAAGTTTTGATCTTCCCATATAATTTCCTCGTGTCATTATTGAATCCCAGTATATGCAGAGTAGTACTAACCATCAGATGCATCCTTATTAAATGAACTGAAGGTTTTCTTGAGCTGTGCCTCAGCAGCCATGAAATGCATCCTAATGAAGGTGGATCATTATATGACTGTTTGGAATAGCAAATGGTCGGCTTCGGCTTGACGCTTGCTTTTGACAAAATGAACAAGGACCAGAGCATCCTATGCTGGAGAATCATTTCGGCCAACTTGTATATAAATATTATTTCTGTTTTTGGAAATACACAAATGTTTTGTCCCATAAAAGTTTCCTGCCTCATTAATTAATTCATTAAACAGACTTAACACAAACAACTAACTTCAAAACCAAACTTTCATTCTTCCGCCCAACTACGCTGCACCCGTGTGCTATATTATACAAATATTTTTATTCCAATTCCTATAAGGTTGTTTGAATTTAAAAAATCCAAATAATACAAAACTTATTCAAATATATTCGGCTAATTTTTATAATCAGGGGGCAGATCAGAAAGTCACAAATTCAAAGTTCATTTTTTTATGTTTTAAAATTGAAGTCACAAATTAGTACGGAGTAGGTAAAAGGAAAAGTAACAAAATATTCCAAAAGAGTGTTAATAACTTAACATTGTGTTCGGCGTTCCTTCAAACAAATAAATTAAATGTTGGAAATAAGTGAAGGAAGATTTGGGAAAATGAGAGACTAAATTAGAAATATTATGAAAGACATATTTGAACACAGGGGAAGAACTCTTTTTATTAAAACAATTCAATTTGCTTGATTTGTTTGATACAAAATGGTGGTAGAGGAGCTCTATTTATACTAGTACAAGAGTGTCTAGATTCTTCTATAATTAATGCATTCTAGACAATTCTATACAATTAATGATAGGAGAGTTCTAGAGACCATATCTTCTAGAGAAGCTCTAGAATTTATTCCTTCTACATTTTTCTATCACTTGGGCCTTCCCAACAACAATTAAAGTAAATATTAATTAGGCCCAAAAACAAGTTTAATTTTCAACATCCCCCCTTAAACTTGTTTATGTAACTCCGAGCATGGTCCTCAACCTTCGAAAATCTTCGTACTTGAGCGGCTTTGTGAATATGTCGGCAATTTGATCATGAGACCTTACATACCTTACTTCAATCTCTTTTCTTTCAATGCATTCTCGAATGTAGTGATAGCGGGTATCAATGTGCTTGCTACGGTCATGGAATACCGGATTCTTTCCCAATGCTATTGCCGACTTATTATCCACATATATCTCCGTAGCCTCCTTTTGTGGCATGCCTATTTCCTTGAATAAATTCTGGAGCCATATAGCATGACAAACACAAGAGTTGGCCGCAACATACTTGGCTTCACTTGTAGAGAGGGTCACAATAGGTTGCTTCTTTGAACTCCAAGTAAAAGCCGTATTACCCAAAAGAAAGACAAATCCGGTGGTACTCTTGCGATCATCAACGTCTCCGGCCCAATCACTATCACTATACCCAACAAGCTTGAAATCTTTAAGAGAATTGTAAAACAAGCCAAAGTTAAGAGTACCTTTGATGTAGCGAAGAATTCTCTTGGCGGCCTTCCAATGAGAGGTTCTTGGATCTTCCATATACCGGCTAATGAGACCAACTCCGTACAAAATGTCGGGCCTCGTACAAATCAAGTATCGTAAGCTCCCAACTAAGCTCTTGAACATTGTGGGCTCCACTTTTTCTTCATCACCAAACTTAGACAATTTTACACCACAATTCACCGGGGCATTGATTGGATTACAATCATCCATTTTAAACTTTTCAAGGATTTTCTTTGCATATCCTTCTTGACCGATAAAAATTCCACTTTCACTTTGTTTCACCTCAATTCCCAAATAATAAGACATTAGGCCCATATCGGTCATTTCAAATTCTTGACTCATTGCCTTTTTGAAATTCTCAAATAAATTGGGATTATTTCCCGTGAATATTAGATCATCAACATAAAGGCAAACAATCAAGATATCTCCATTTTCCTCCTTTTTGACATAAAGAGCATGTTCATGGGGTCATTTTATGAAATTATTTGCTTGGAAATACTTATCAATTCTAGTATTCCAAGCTCTTGGGGCTTGCTTCAAACCATAAAGTGCCTTTTTCAACTTTAGAACTTTATCTTCATGCCCTTTTATTTTATATCCCGGTGGTTGTTCTAAATAAACTTCTTCTTCTAACTTTGCATTTAAAAATGCGGACTTCACATCCATTTGAAAAAATTTCCATTTATTTTGAGCCGCCAAAGAAATTAAAAATCTTATTGTTTCCAAGCGGGCAACGTGAGCAAATACCTCTTCAAAGTCGATACCGGCTCTTTGGTTGTACCCTTTTGCAACCAACCTTGCTTTGTACCTTTCAACTTCCCCCATGACATTCTTCTTCTCTTTAAACACCCATCTTGCACCAATTGCTTTGTGTCCTTTGGGTAAAGTGGCCAATTCCAACGTATCATTTTTTATGATGGCCTTCATTTCTTTATCCATGGCTTCCCTCCAATTCTTGTCATTAGCCGCTTCTTCAAAACCTATTGGTTCACAATCGACAAGAAGACAAAACAATGTTAGATCATTTATATTTTCGATTACCTCATATAATTTCTGTATGCTCCTTAAACGAGGTGGCCTTTCATTTGAATGATCTTCATGTGTGGATCCTTCTTGCTCCGGTGATGGTGGAGTTGGACTCGTGGGCTCTTCATGAGCTATCTCTTGTTCTTCATCTTCTTCTTCATTGTAGTAAGGCAAAAAATTGTACTCTCTTCTTCTTTATGAGTCCAATCCCAAATGTTTTCTTCATCAAACTCAACATCACGGCTAAGCACAAATTTTCCATTGCTTGGATTGTATAACTTGTACCCCTTTGCTCTTGCATCGTATCTAATAAAGCTAAACTTCTCACTTTTGTCATCCAATTTGCTTCTTTTTTGATCCGGTACATGAGCATAAGCAATACTCCCAAAAACTTTCAAGTGGGCAATTCCGGGCTTTCTTCCACTCCATGCTTCTTCGGGGGTTTTGTTCCAAACACTTCTAGAAGGAGATATGTTTGACAAATAAACCGCACAATCCACGGCTTCGACCCAAAATTCTTTTGGAATATTTTTGGTCTTGAGCATGCTTCGAACCATGTTAAGTAGAGATCGGTTTTTTCTTTCAACAACTCCATTTTGTTGTGGAGTACATGGAACCGTTAAGGGGCGATGAATACCATTTTCTTCACAAAAAATTTCAAATTCTTTTGAAGTGAATTCCCCCCCACGATCGGATCTCATGGATTTTATTTTAAACCCGCTTTCATTTTCAACATGAGCTTTAAATTTCTTGAAGGCCCCAAAAACGTCGGATTTATGTTTTAGAAAATAAACCCATGTTTCCGACTAAAATCATCAATGAAAAGAGCAAAATAGTTACTATTTCCGAGAGAGCATGGTTTAACTGACCCACAAATATCCGTGTGTACAAGCTCTATCGGCTGTTTTGCTCTTGTAGATGCTTGCTTTGGAAAACTTTTTCTTGGTTGCTTTATAAATAAACACCCTTCACACAATTGATTAGCTTCATTGATTTTGGGCAAACCTTTCACCATAGCTTTATCACTCAACAATTTTAAACCTCCAAAATTGAGATGCCCAAACCTCAAGTGCCAAATCCAAGATGAATTTTAAAAACATGCTTTCAAACATTTTGGACCCCCATTTTCAATGTTTAATGAAAACATTCTATTTCTTGACATTGGTACTTTAGCAACCAAACCCCCGTTATTATCTCTCATCAAAAGGGTGTTATTTTTCATATGAATGTCATATCCCTTTTCTAAAAGTTGCCCCAAACTTAAAATGTTTGATTTCATGTTGGGCACATAGTAGACATTAGAGATGAAATCATTTTTTCCATTTTTTAACCGGATTAAAATTTTCCTCTTTCCTTTTACCGGGATTTTTGATTCATCTCCAAAGTAGATATTTCCGCTTACCGACTCATCAAGCTCGACAAACATATCTTTCTTCCCGCACATGTGGTTGCTTGCTCTCGTATCTAAGTACCATGTCGTTTTGGTGTCACTTTCTCCTCCTTTATGGGTCATCAACAATGTTGAATTTTCTTCTTCTTCTTTGGCAACATTTGTTCGCTCCTCAACTTTATTTTTTGCCAATCTACAATCGGAGGCAAAGTGACCAAATTTTTGACAATTATAACATTGAACTTGATACTTATCATACCTTGGTCTTGAAAAACCTCCTCTTCCACGGCCTCTTGATTGATAGAAATGTGGACTACTCTCTTCTTTTTTGAAAGTCTTATAACCTCCTCTTCCATAGCCTTGGCTTCGACCGCGCCCTCTTGAACTTTGACTTTTTCCCTCTTGGAAAATCTCTTTATTTTTTAAGTTGAGCTTGGTTTGAAGGGCTTGCTCCAATGGCTCTTGCTTTATTCTCTTCTTGAGTTTTTCTTCATGAGCTTGAAGAGATCCCAAGAGATTATCAACCGTCATTGTTTCTAGATCTTTAGATTCTTCTATTGCCACAACTATGTAATCGAATTTTGAATCTAAAGACCGTAGAATTTTTTCAACTACACGATTGTCTTTGATTTCTTCTCCATATCTTCTTAGTTGATTCACGACGGTTTGAACTCTTGAGAAATAGTCGTCAATAGATTCCGAAGAGTTCATGTTTAAAGATTCAAACTCACCTCGAAGACTTTGAAGTTTTACTTTCTTTACCTTATCTACTCCTTTGAATGAATTCTCTAATATCTCACAAGCTTCTTTGCTTGTAGTTGCACATGTCACCTTTGCGAACATGACTTCATGCAAAGCTTGATGGACGATAGAGAGCGCCTTTTGATCTTTCTTCTTAGTACTTCTCAAGGCATTCTTTTGATTTTGATTTAAGGCATTGATGTCCTCGGGTTCCTCGAAGACTTCCTCTACCATGTCCCACACATCTTCCGAACCAAGTATTGCCTTCATGCGAATGCTCCAATTATCATAATTTTCCTTTTTTAATGGAGGAACTTGAAGAGAACCGACCATTTTAGGGTGATGACCGAACAGATCTGATACCACTGTTGGAAATAAGTGAAGAAAGATTTTGGAAATTGGGAGGCTAAATTAAAAATATTATGGAAGAGATATTTGAACAAAGGGGAAGAACTCTTTTTATTAGAACAACTCAATTTGCTTGATTTGCTTGATACAAAGTGGTGGTAGAGAAGCTCTATTTATACTAGTACAAAAGTGTCTAGACTCTTCTATAATTAATGCATTCTAGACAATTCTATACAATTAATGATAGGGGAGTTCTAGAGATCATTTTTTAGAGAAGCTCTAGAATATATTCCTTATACATTTTTCTATCACTTGAGCCTTCCCAACAAAAATTAAAGTAAATATTAATTAGGCCTAAAAACAAGTTTAATTTTCAACAATAAAATCCTCAATCACAAACTGGTTGAGTCAAAAGTTTTTTGTAATTTCTCTTTTAATATAAGCAACAAGGTTGTCTTCTAGCTACTTGTCCTCCATTTTGTTTTTATAACTTTTATTGCAAACTCACCACCCTCCTTGTGCTATTGAAGCGATTTAGAAATTCACGCTTCATATCTTGCCAGCTATCAATAGAACAAGGCTCCATTTTGTTTTTATAGATATTCCACGTCACTCCATACAGTTCATATACAACTCTAGGCCCAATCCCCTTTCATTTTTTGTGAAGAATCCGTTGGCATCAGAACCGGCCGGTCAGGTCCCCAAACTTTAGCACTGGTACCGTTGGTAGCACGTACGGTCCAAGACCATTTGACCAGTTCCGATCCCGAGTGCTTTGCCCGACCAGTTCCAACTTGATCATCGAGTCCACACAACTCAAAGAGTTGAGCTATTTAACAACACATTAGCTCTTTTATAGTGTACGCCTCATTTTTGTAAGGAATTTTATCAATTCAGGACCCGAAAGATAGATTAATTATCAATTCAGGACTCGAAAGATGAAACGTATCGGTATAGGACCCGAATGATGGAAAACTATCAATTTAAGACCTAACATTTCATAGGTTTTGATTTATTTAATTTTTTAATAATTCCATTACTAATTTTTGATAAACTTTTCTTCACAAAAGTTTATTAGTTTAATAAAACGAAATAATATTTAAATTTTTTTAATAAAAAAATTATGACAACTTAGGTCCTAGATTAATAATTTTCAATCATTCAAGTCCTAAATTGATAGTTTTTCATCATTCGGGTCCTATATCGATGCATTTTATCTTTCAGATCCTGAATTGATAATTAAACTATCTTTCGGGTCCTAAATTGATAAAATTCCTTTTTGTAATGACAATTTTGAATTTAATATGATTCACACAAGTAATACTAGTTTTGAAATTATTATTATATAAAGTGTATCATGTAACTTTTAAATATATTACAATATAAAAAATGCAAAGGCGCAAACAGGGCCTTTGTTGTTGTTTTGAATATAAGGCTTAACTTTGGCTGGAGTAGAGAGTTGCATTTATTTGCCACCTGGGGAAAAAGTATTTCCATACTACGGGAAACAAGCTGTGGTGTTAAGTATTTATTTTATTTTACCAAACAAAGCCTAACATTAAGCAATGAAAATCATCACACATCTTATTTTTTAATCTCACAATATGTGTATAATAGAAGCTACAACAACAACAACAATCAATCACAAAGAACCCTACTTAGGGCGATTCAGAAGGTCTTTTAACTTGTCGGAGTTGGACAGAGTTCTCAAAGCAATGATAGAAGCCAAAATGCGGGAATCTCTCGTACCATGTTTCTTGTGGTGCATGAGTGTCCCAATGCTCCCCACTGCTGCTCTTCCCATACTTGTGCACCCATCCCGAACCGTTGTGCCCCTCCCCCCATGTGCGGTTCCATCTATCGCCACGCTTGCCTTCCCACCACGTCTCCCCTTGTTTCACCCCGTGACCATTGTTATCGAAGTGTTCGTCCCACTTGTCTCCCCATTTTGACCACCCATCCCCTTCACACCTCTCAGCCCACTTGTCCGTGTATTTCATTGCTCCCCCTTGCCCATCAAACTTCTCACCCCACCTGCCATGTAACATTTACTTTTGTAGATCGCATCTAAAAGTGTACATTTTTGGGAACCCAAAATCACTCTACAAACCATGATTTTGGACCACAACATGCAAAACGTACTTTTTAAAGCTTTTGCATTTCGGCCCAAAATCATGTTATGCAACAAAAAAGGGTAAACTAGAGTTATGTGAGATACACAAGTTATTAGCGAAGTTGAAGGAGAGGGACTAACCGGGGAAAAATGTAAAGAGATGAATAACAGAAGTACAGAACAGCCCAATTTTGCAGTGATAATCAAACATTTTATATGAAGGCAAGCAAAACATTTTAAAACATGTCTCTTTAGGCAAGTGACAAAAAAGAAAACATATGGTGATGAAAGCTTTTGAAATATCATCTCACGATTCCTTTGTAAGAGGGTTGAGACATTATTACATTACCTCTCATGCCACAAATGAGCATGGCCAGCATCAAGAGGTGTGTTAGGATCAATGGTGCACCACTTATGTGCCCATTTCTCTGCTTGGCCAGTAGCATCATATTTCTCCAACCATTGTTCTTGCCACTCTTCACCTCTCCCATTCCTTCCCCACTTATCTGCAGTTTTCTCCATGTGGACAAGGCCATTACTCTGCATAAAACAACGAATTCCCAATGTGGCCTTGTCTCTTAAAAACTTATCATCATGAACTCAAAATATCCACTGTTACCATATAATTGGAAAGCTATAAGTAACCCTATGTTTGTTGCAATTTGAAATGCTGAGAGGAGAAGCCAAAACTAGCTTGGTAAGATTGAAAACAATGTTGAGATGTTTCTTAGAAAAGTCAACTATACACATATTAGCAATGTCATGTTTCATATGGGTTGTTTGGCTAAAATGGTTGAACCTGCAGGATTTTATAAAACAAAAAGCATTCGGTAAGAATGTAAGATCAGTTTCAGCCAAGTTAGCCAGCCAAAAGCTACTTAGGCTCCGTTGGTAGCTTTTGACTTACTTATTAAGTTAAAATGGACAGATTTTCTAAATGCTCTTTCTTCCACAAACTCTGGCCGATTTTGGCTACCAAACAGAGCCTAAATATCAATAACCACATAGTGTGTATAAATAATTTGATTCCAATTCATCAACCTCTGACATGGACTCCTTCCAATATTCACGCCACACACTTCCCACCGCGTCACGTCCAGATTTCTCAGAACCTAATTCCTTGTAACCGAGCTCATCAGCAGCTTCCCAATACTTATTTTCCCATTCAACAGCTTTATCTGAACTAACTCCTCTCATCACTGTCCACTTACACAGAACCCCATCAGGTCTTAGTTCATTTCCAGTCTCCTTCCACCACTTTGACCCATCAGGATTAACTCCATAGGAAGAACCATCGCTTATGACCTGCTCCAGCGCAAGAACAGCTTCAGCAGCATGTGTTGAAAACTGGGCACCAAGTTCATGAGGTGTCTCTACAGTAGACATTGAAGTGTCCAAATCAACCTCCACGAGTGACTGAAGAGGAGGGAGAGAAGGACCGGCTTTGCTACTTCCCAAAATGACACTTTCAAATGGTATTGGCAGAAATTCAGCTGACCGCTCTTTCTCTATCACAGGACTGGTAACATTTGGAAATGCGGATATTTTGGCATCTGCTTGTAGTTTATTTTCATCATTAAGAGATATGTCTGGAGGAGGTATCCATGACCAGAAGCTCGGGCCAGGCGTTATGGAAATGGTATTTCCTGATTGAGGGACGGATAAGCTCTCATTTAGCAGTCCTGGTTAAGCAAAGAGTTTCGTTTACCAAGTTAATAGTCTCATTTGGCCACATACTAATTTTTAAGGAATGCACTTTATGGTGTCAACAGTTTAAAGATCTTACAACTCCCAAAACAATAAATTTGACCATAAAATCATAAGAATGAACAAAACGTAGATTTGTGGATACAGATAGCAAGGGTGTGTTACTTGCATGAATTCCTGGATAGCAACAATCAGCATTTACCTCTCTGAGTCATGATTTCTAAAATTAAGATTTTGTGACTTCATACTAACATGTTAAGGGATGGTTGAAGACTTTATATGTGTTAGTTTGTGTACTTCTAAAACAAAAATCAAGGAAATCACTTTTATGCCATCTTTGTCAGGTGATTTATCTACGCACCTAATAAAGTAATCTTGAAACCAACCACTATTAAAATTAACCTACTCTATGAGCCTTAGCCTAATGGAGTTGCTCATTAAATTTATGGTCTCCAATTCTATGCAAATTAACTTAATAGGCATGGTAGTTCAAGAATTTATATAGATTAGTTCCTTGGAAGATAATCCATTCTCGACTTGGGTAATTACTATGCTGCAGATAATTAAATATGTTGTGGATATAATTCAAAATTCTGCAGATAATTCACTGTTCTGTTGCGGGATACATGAATAGAGTTTTACCTTCTTGATTGTCCTCATTTTCACCACCCTGAACTTCTGTTACACCTGAAACTCCAAGTTGCGGGCGAGGGTTCTCCTTCAACAGTGCCCTGGCGGCTGAGATCGCAGCTGCAGCACGATCAATAACTTGCAATCTCTGAATTTGGTCCCTTTCCTCGGGGGGGAATTCAAGAATCTTCTTGAACTCATTGCTCTTCCTCTCCAACGCTTCCGGGCTCTCTTCCTCCTCGTCCCTGCCGCGCTCCCCTACTCCAGCGGTGGCTTTTCCGCTATTCTCCACGATCCTCTGAAACTCCAGAGACTTCCTCTCGCGACCCACCGCCGTCTTCCACATATCCAAGTAAGACAGGTCTGCTCCATCGGATACTTTAATTCTTGAGCTCTTCCTTACCTGTTTGAGCCTGCCCCGGTTCAGAAGATGATCTTGAGTGATGAAGGAGTGGAATGTGTACTCTGGATGGTGCCTCTGGGGTGCAGATATGGCGGAGCTGGGAAAGGTGGTGTGGAAATGGCTCGCCATTGGGAGTGTACGAGTACGGAAGTGTCGTGCTTTGTGGAGGTGAGAACTTATTTAACTATATATGTATCTCATTAAAATTGTGATGCCTGAAGATTGGGTCGAGGAGAAAGAATTAAATTAAACCACAAATTCTTTACTTAAAGAAAATTTTCAAAGTTAATGGAATAGCTGAAAAGGGAAAGTTGACAAAGTTTTAAGGGACGAACGGAGTATTTTTCATTACGAGCAGTATAATTTACTTATTGAGAATATATTTGGCTTCTTGCTCTCTCGAAAGCAAAAAGATTTTCTTGAAATCAAAGGAAGGTAGGGATAGGATGCTGTATTCTATGTTTCATTACCAACGATGAGTAGTTCACGATTTTCACTTTGTCCACTTTTGATACGCGACTATTGTGTTTTCACCCATACATGTTCCTTCTGACAATGTTAATCACCGGAGAAGGACCACAACTGGTCAAAAATCATTAGTCAAATACCAAAAGTGAACAAAGTGAAAGACGTGGACTAAATGTGGAATTGACATAAAACTCGTATGACCAAAAGTGGAATAAATTCCAAATACCATGGTCTAAAAAATCGACTTCAATTATTTGAACAAATCCGTTAAATCATAATCTCAAGAAGAAATTAATTCTTATATTAAGGCTCATGACGAGATGAAATACTGGTTGTGCGAACACTCAAACTAGCGTCAATGACTAGAAGGTCGATATTTGAGAAAGAAAAAATTCCACTTTTGGTCTCATGACTATGATGTCACTTTCACATTACTCTCTCGACTTTCAATTTAACCAAATCTAGTCCATGACCTTTTCCCCTTTATCAACCGTCGTCCTTCCGACCACAACTCTGGCAAATTTTAATCGGAAATCAATTAATGAAGGTTAGTTGCGTCATTTAATAGCATTTATAGGTTTGCTTATTGAAAAAATTCCACTTTTGGTCTCATGACTAATATGTCACTTCCACATTACTCCTTTGACTTTCAATTTAACCAAATCTAGTCCGTGACCTTTTCCCCTTCACCACTCGTTGTCCTTCCGAGCACAACTTCGACAAATTTTAACCAGAAACTCATTTATGTAGAAATATTGGGGGCATTTTAGTAATTGTATGTTGTTAAAACGACTACCTACAAAATTAACTTCAATTAATGTTGAGTTAATACGCTGGCTTCCTTCATTCTCAAAACTGAAGTCTTCTCCCATCTCCCAAACTTCCATAAGCCTGAAAAATCCCCAACCATCGTTCGAACAATGAGGACCTGTCCGGACCGTCGGAGTGAAGGAGAAGGAACAAGTGCTGAACAACGTTCGCCAACAAATGATAGTGATAAAGGAAAGAGGCTAAACTTTTTTAAAAAATAGTGGAATAAAGTAATGAATACAAGGCTGAAATAAGATGTATATAATTGGTGTTTGCACATGTTAGGGGTTTTGTGTTGAGGCTAAAAAAGAGGGTTTTTTTTTAAAGAGTGGAAGAACGTAACATGTGCAAACACCAATTATATACACCCCATTTCAGCCTTGTATTCATTACTTTCTTCCACGTTTTTTTAAAAAAGTGCAGCCTCTTACCTTTATCACCAGCATTTGTTGGCGAACATCGCACTTGTTCATTCTCCTTCACTCCGACGGTCCGGATAGGTCCTCATTGTTCGAAAGATGGTTGAGGATTTTCTAGGTTGACGGAAGTTTGGGAAATTGGAGAAGACTTCGATTTTGAGAATGAAGGAATCCGGCGTATTAACACAACATTAATTGAAGTTAATTTTGTAGGTAGCCGTTTTAGCAACATACAATTACTAAAATGACCCCAATATTTCTACATAAATGAGTTTCCGGTTAAAATTTGCCGGAGTTGTGGTCGGAAGGACGACGGGTGGTGAAGGGGAAAAGGTAACAAACTTGATTTGGTTAAATTGAAAGTCAAGGGAGTAATGTGGAAGTGGCATAATAGTCATGGGACCAAAAGTGGTTTTTTGAATAAGAAAACCTATATATGCTATTAAATGACGCAACTAACCTTCATTAATTGGTTTCCGGTTAAAATTTGCCGGAGTTGTGGTCGGAAGGACGATGGGTGGTGAAGGGGAAAAAGTCACGGATTAGATTTGGTTAAATTGAAAGTCAATTGAGTAATGTGGAAGTGTCATAATAGTCGTGGGACCAAAAGTGGAATTTTTTCATTTGAGAAACCCTCTCAAACTAAATTTACATGAGTATCATAAGTGTGTAATTTGGTCCACTTTGACCACTCCCACTTGTCGAATTTGTGTTATATAATACTACCTCCATCCCACTGTGATTGTCCCATTTTACCTTATCGGTCCATCTCACTAAGATTGTCTCATACCAAATTTGGTAAAGTTTGTGTGACTCTAAATCATTCTTACTTTATTCGTACTTTATCAATTCAAAATCAACCACATAAACCATTTTTTATTAATTTGCATGTCACTCTCTCTTGTCCCATTGTTAGCGGGACGGAGGGAGTACTACGTAATATGTAGTACTTGTTAGAGTTATGGAACCGGAAGGGATTACTAAAGGTCGTTCCCCTAAACTCATGCATCGACAAAGCCAGGCCCAAAACTTAAATAAACAAAGTCTGGCCCAATAGTAGGATCGACAAAGCCATGATCGGTATTACAATTGAGATTTTATTATTCACAGTCACATGTTTACTGAGTACAAATTTTTATTTCTATTTTAAATAAAAGTATACCCTTATTGCAGCCTAGCCTAGCCTAGCCATATCCTGAGGCCCGATATCTAGATGCTCAATTGGAGTATGTGCCTTTGTGATTTTCAAAATGAAAAAGAAAATGAACGCAGAGACAATAACTACGATTGGCTCCATCAATAGTTTCATTAGAGATCCGGTCTTCGGCTCTTTCCTAGCGCACAAGACGTCATAGAGTAGTAAGTTTTCTTATTGAAGTGATAAAAAACATCTCAAGATCAGGCCATTGAAACCATGATCCTCACCTCGAACTTTGACATTAATTGTTATATTTACTTTTTATGTTGTATCCCCAATTAAAAGACATGCAAGCTCTTGAAATGCTAAATTTAATTCTAATGTGCATTGTGATTGTGAAATGTGAAAAGTCAATTCAGTTATTTTATTGCAGTATAAGCTTCTCATAAGCAGCCATCGCTTCAAACTCGTTCCACTATCAATTCTTGTTGCAGGTGTGCTTCAATCAATCCCCATCAACTTTTAGAATTTCTTTGGGATCAAACACTTTTGAACTTGTATCTCCTTTATATATTCTCATAATGATGGTTCTTATAGATTTTGAGATCTCCCCTTTTTAGAATATGCTCCGTAATGATTTATACTCCGTTTTTCAATTATAAAATGGCCTTGTAAGTTTAATATTTTTTCATGCAGATAAAGCAAAATTGTCTATTTCATAAGACCCAAATGCTAATGAAGAAGATCGGAGTAGTAACTATATAACGGAGAAGGTTAAAGTGCATTTTTAGCCCCTGCAAATATGATACACTTTGTTTTAGGTCCTTTCAAAATAATTTTTGTTTGTTTTTCATCCTTGCACTATTTTTTTAGTTCATCTCTAACTCTGAAACAACTCTATAGAAAAAGTTATTGTCGGTTGCATAATGTTATTTGAAACTTTTAAAGTTATCAGATTTATATTTTTTTGGGCTAATATGAGAGTTAAAACAATGTAGTTCTAATTATTCACATTTCTAAAATATGTATTAACAACCTTTTAAAAAATAAAATTGAAATGTTTTGAATAACTTGACAAAGAACGAGACAAAACACATTAATCAGGGTTGCTTCATTAACAAACACAGGTTATCATCATCGGTAATAGACTAAAATGAAAACCAACATAAATTACAATGCTGAAAAAAAAATGTAAGGATGTAAAATAAAATGCACTATATTTACAAGTCTTAAAAACATATTTAAATCATAGGAGAACCAGTAGCAAAAACATAAATATTTAAAGATAAGGTAAACTCAACAAAATTGCTTTACATTTATAATCATCATAAATAAAGATTGCATAAACATATAAATATGGTTCATTTAAGTCAACAACTTCATTACTACGAACAACCAATTGTGAATATATTATGTCATTAAACGCCTTAATCCAAACCAAATACAAGGTATCCCACGCTACACAACATTCAACATGAAAGTGTTTCAAAATTAGGAACAATTAGAGATAATGGCAAACTAGAATTCAATGTAACCTACAAAACATTTTAACAACCAATATTAAAATAATCAAATTTTGTATAATAAATGTAAAAATATAACGTAGTAACTTATTGTTGAAGTTTATTCCTTCAACCCAAAGACCCAACACCTTCCTTTGGATTTCGAGTGTAGTATTTGGCGGATTATGAGAGATGAGTAAACACAAGCAATAAATGGACAAGAAATAAGTTAGTCTAGTAAATGTGTCATATCTTATTACTCTGAATAAGGACCATTACAACACACTTTACTATTGCCACTCTAGGCCGATCTTCTAGTCTAGCTGGGAAGAGGGGAGACAATCGATATTGCTAAGGAGTCTCAGTTGCCAACCCTTTACAATGAAATAAATGCTACTATTTATACTACGAAGGGGTAGGTGATGTCGATGATATGGAGGATTCTGGGTGGCTAGCTTCCAAATCACCAAATCTATTGCATTAAATGCGCTTCGCGCCAATATCTCGCTTTCCCGCTAAAGTCCCTGGACGAGGGTCTCCCTGATCTTGGATCTCGGATCCAGATGAGTGTAGGCGGGACTCTGCTCGACTTCCACGGGTTGCTTTACCGAAAATTATGGCTCATCACATGGTTCCTGTTAGGCCAAGGCGCTTGAGGCCGAGCGTCTTCTTGGATAAGACGAACGTCTGGCCTACACGCTTGCCGGAACACTCATGATTTGGGCCTTGATGGTTTTCTTGTTAAAGGGATAATGGATTGACCTGCCATCGGGCCTATTGACCCAACACTTATGTACCTAAACAAAGTGATTTCCATTTACAAATTTGAAAGTTAATATTATGTGATGTTGTGGTGGAGTAAATCGAAGAGGAAGATATGTGACACATACTTGCTTAGAAAGATAGCCAACGCCACACCGTATTTAGAGGCAAGTGATGGATAGTCTACCCGGGGGTAGCTTATCCGAGGGTTATTGCGGAAAATAATTAGAGAGAAGTCAGAGCAAATAAGTAAGAGAGAGAATATGTATTCAGTCTGTGAACTTGCGTTGCTTTACAATGGAGAAACGGGATGCTATTTATAGCAGCAATAAATGCTAGATAGGGACACATGTCAATAATCTGGTGGTCGAGGGGTCACCTCAACCGGGTGGCACCGACACCTACATGTGGCCGCATTAAATGCGGTGGTTGGATGTGACGTTTGTACTTGGTACGGTGATCCAGGCGCATGTGGAGAGGATATTCTCTCGAGGAGGGTGCCTTCAGCTGAAGGGTGCTGTACCGAAGGCTCTCCTAACCGGGGGCCTCCTTGTGCTGAGGGCTGTATATGTCGAAGGCTTGGTTTTCACGCCTTGTTCTCCTGTGACGTTTCTGAGCTCGATTTTGGCAATGGTAGCCTTCGGTCATGGGGCCGAAGGCACCCCCTTGCGTATTGTGGGCTGCTTAGAGCTCCATCTCGCTGGGCTTGGCCCGTTTGGGCCTGTTGGGCCTGATTGTAGTTGTGGAAGTATGTGGGCCGGGGGTCCCTGGACCATATACTTCTTCAGCAAGCAAATGATTCATGTCCGGTACAACCATCCAATGATTATACGGAGCCAACCCTTTGAAATAAAATAGTTCTTCAAGCAATTCAGCAACAAGTCCCATAGAATTGTAAAACGCGACATAATAAGAACGGTGATTGCATAACTCTTCAATTTACTTTTCACGGATTTGTGACCACTTTTCAGAACCTAATAAACCTGCAATTGCCCGAATATGACAATATCCATCTAACTTTACACCAATTATGTCAAATATATAATGTGTTCGGTGCCACAAGAAACCGAGAGTCACATTGGTGTTTACCTGTCATTCAAAGTTGGCCACAATCGCTCGATTTAAACAAACTAGAGTTAAACATATCAACTGCGACAATCATAAAATACATAAAAGTGCAGATATTTATCAAATTAGACCAATCAAATCAGGTTAGGCCAGAAAAATTTAGTCCAACTAAAAGCATGTTTAGGACGTTTTTGCTTCGCTGCTAAAAACACAGTTAGGTTAGTAACACAGGTGAAATAAACACACAGACAGTTTAAAATGCAGCTTATTAAGCCAAGCAAGTGTTTAAAGTGCCGCTTACCAAGCATTCACCTCACATGTATTAATTAAGCGGTAATTTAAGCCTTTTGAGTTTCCACATTTACCATTGCCCTTACCCTAACCCTCACCATTACCCCCTACCCCTAACCTCCCACTACCGCCTACCTACTTGTCCTCGTACCCCTACCCCACCACCTCGTCCCCTTACTAGTCCGCTTACCCCTATCCCTATCCCCTACCCGTACTGCTTACCCTAACTCCTCACCCCCAACTCCTGCCCTGACCCTACCTTCACCCCTACCCCTACTTTGACACACACCCTACCCTCACCTCCCAGCACCATTCCCACCCTAACCCTTTTTGGGGGCAGGTATAATGGGTAACTGGTACAAGGTAGGGGGGTCGGGGTGGGTGGGGGTAGGGGGTTAGAGGGGCAGGGAGTAGGGTAAATGGGGTAAGAGGACGGGTAGGCTTTGTGGTAGGGGCGGGGACTGGTACGGGTAGGGTTAGGCCACCACATATTATATATACTTGTGTATGCATGAATGTTTATGTGTCTAAAATAGGCTTGTAACACTACTTATTTACGCGACGCTTATTAGCGCAAGTCTTAATAAACATCACTTATTAAGTTGTGAAGCAAACATGTCGTTAATGTAATAAAATATGCCTTTTTTTGAAGGAATAATTAAATGATGAAACTTCAGGTCGGCATGACCAGGATAGCCGTCCGGCCGAGCCTGTCTGAGGGCTTTTCCGGTGACATTTTTTGATGAAATGTTTTGAGCATTGTTATTCATAAAGACTAGTTTACCCATATCAAATTTCAGTTAAAAATTCAATCGGGAAGGCTGTCAAATAAATTATTTAAGAATACTGCACAGTTAACATATATAAACAACGCAGTCTTTTTCAGAAAATTATTTGACAATCTTTGCGATTAAATTTTTAAATGAAATTTGATATATGTAAACTAGATGTGATGAAAATTTTTATAAAAATATTTCACCCGCTCCAAACGGGCTCGGCCGGATGGCTTTTTCACGTTAGGCCAGCCTGACCTGAGGACTGACTACTCATAATTAAATATGCCTTATGTTCCGGTGTAACACTTGAATCGGTTGTATAGCATTTCAAATTACAAGCTGTCGATGCAAACGAAGTTCGCCTTATATATATAGTCACACTCAAATCGCCTCGCCATCTCCGTCAATTTTCTCCCTTCGTTTCCAGTTGCTCTCAATTCCCTCATTCTTAATCGCGGTTGATTTCCGGTGGAAAAAGAAAGCCAAGTTTCCAACCAACAAGATGTCCCAATCTCTCAATCTTTTCGTCTCATCTTCGACTCGTTGTCCCGTGAGTTTTCAGCTTTTGAAACCTTTGCTCTCTTTTTCCTCCGCCGGTACGTTCCGGATTCCTGTGAATATCTCCGGCCCGGCGGCTTCGAGAGTTAAAGTTTCCGTTTCGGATCTGGATTCAACTTCGCCGGTTCTGGCTTCGGACAACGGCTCGAGAGGTTTCGTATCCGCCGTTGGGGACGGACCAACGGCTGCATTTGAGGTCGACGCGGTGACGGAGGCTGAGCTGAAAGAGAACGGGTTCCGGAGTACCAGGAGGACAAAACTCGTGTGCACCATTGGTCCTGCTACATGCGGCTTTGACCAACTGGAAGCGCTTGCCGTTGGCGGGATGAACGTGGCCCGAATCAACATGTGTCACGGGACGCGGGAGTGGCACCAAATGGTGATCGAGCGGGTCCGGAGGTTGAACGAACACAAGGGCTTTGCAGTCGCCATTATGATGGATACTGAGGGCAGTGAGATTCACATGGGTGATCTTGGAGGAGCTTCGTCTGCCAAAGCTGAGGTAATTATAGATAGCCGTTGCTCATGGATTAAGGCATATAATTCTACTGCCGTATTAATTGTACTGTAATCAGCAAATATGGAGCTTACTGCATTCTGATATTCTAGTGTTATGAAACATAATAAAACTTCTTCCAAAAGAAAAATAAATTAGCTGTTTCTCAGTGACAGTATCATGAGTTTGGTTTAAATATAAAATTAAAAACCCTATTTTTCAAGTCTGGGTGATTCGAATTTGAGGTGCCAAGGCTTGAGCTTGTTACTCTTTGCTAAAGAAAGATTGAGACCCTCTATTATCAGTTCGCATGTGTGCTTAATATCTCCGGGTAGAGTTAAGTCAGATTTAGTAAACCATGAACCTGCATTTCTATATTTTGCCATGGGTTGCGGGGAATAGTAATGTATAGACACACATCTTATCCTTTTTTCAGGATGGAGAAATTTGGACTTTCAGTGTTCGAGGATTTGATTCAACTCAACCTGAGAAAACCATTAATGTGAACTATGATGGCTTTGCTGAAGGTGCATGGAATTTCTGGATTTAATGTTTGTTAGAATCACCTAAAGAATTTTATAGGGAGCTCACTGTTCTTTATAATCTGTTGACAGATGTGAAAGTGGGGGATGAGTTACTAGTAGATGGTGGAATGGTGAGGTTTGAAGTGATTGAGAAAATTGGTCCAGATGTTAAGTGTCTTTGCACAGATTCTGGTCTTCTATTGCCAAGGGCTAATTTGACATTTTGGCGTGATGGAACATTAGTTAGAGAGAGAAATGCTATGCTTCCTACTATTTCTTCTAAGGTTGGTGCATGTCTCTCTTTCTGCAATATTATGTGCACCTTGTTTACGCATTTAATCATCCATTTTAACTGAATTCTTTTAACCAACATCTAAACAAGGATAAAAATATTCATATTTAAAGAAATATGGTTATATGTTTTTCTTGAATTTATGGAGAAGTTGTTTGATATTTTGATATTGATATTGGATTAACATTGGAAAAAAACTAGATTTTGTTCTACTTCCGTCCCAAAAAACTTTTCCATCTCATAAAATTTGGACCGTGATTTTGATTAGTATAATATTATGGAAGTTATATATTTATACTTTTATGGAATTACTTATAACAAAGAACGTTTTCATATCATTTTTATATTGTAAATAATTTTTAATAAAATATATAGCTGGTCAAAGTTATAAAGATGACACAGTTTTTTAGGACGGAGGTAGACTTTTAATGTGAGAATGGCACTTTAACCCGATGTGATGCATTGTGACGTTTGTACCTCACACTTTTTTGCATTAACGCAACAGTTATGAAAACTGCCACCACATGTTTTTGTTGGCATGTTTTGACCCAAGTTAAAAAGTGCAAAAGATGAGCCTCATAACGCATCAAATTGAGTTAAAAGTGCCACTTTCGCTCGTTAAACATCGTTCTCATTGGAACCGCCCCCAATATGTGTGTGAGTGTGCGTGTGTATAGATTTAGAATCTAATGAGAACCATGCTTAACGTGAGAACATGAGAATTCCATTTTTAAGCAAATGTGATGCACAATGTCGTGTATACCTTACACATTTTCGTTTATCTACCCACCACATTTATTTGATGTTGGCTGGCACATTTTGACCAAAGTTTAAAAAGTGTTAATGATGAGCCTCATAGTGCACCAAATTATGTTAAAAGTTCATGGTTCTCACGTTCTTACGGGAAACCGCTCCTTATATATATGTATATATATAGGGGATGGTTCAAATACAAAGAACTCTTCCCATGCAAAGTGAAAATTAATCTTGTGCATTCATTTTCAGATCTAATGGCTCAAAATGAGCCAAAAATGATCTAAATTTGATCAAAAACGCGGTTGCAATTTCGTAAATAAACCAAAGTTTTCTGCCATCGTTCGCACTTTGCACGGTAGCACCTCTTTTTATTTGAACTCCACCCTATTATAATATGGTTCTCGTGAAAATTGCAGACCATTCACTTTTTCCTTGATGTGATGCACTATTAGGTTTCTATGTTGCACTTTTTTGCATTGATATAAAACTTTGACTTATTTACGAAAGTGCCACCACATTTTTTTGTTTGGCATGACTCGGTCATATTTCAAAAAGTGGATCACATTATGGAAAAAGCTAACGGTTTGCAGTTTTCAGTTTTCACGTCACGGGTGGTTTTAATTTGATCCGGATCCTATATATATATGTACCGGATGAAATAAGAACAATGTTTATTGTAAGAACGTGAGAACAATCACTTTTACCTCAATGTGATGCAAGTTTAGCCTAGTTGTTGCACTTTTTAATCTTTGATCAAACCAAGCCAATATCAAATAAACATAGTGCCATAGTGGCATTGAGTTAAAAATGTCATTCTCATGTTCTCACCATAAGCGTTGTTCTCATTGGAACCGCACCATATATATATATATATATAGACACACACACACACACATAATCCCTCTCATAGTGAGAGCTTATTATGAAAACTTTGAATCATAGTCTTTCATTTCTTCCAATCATATTCTTGACTAATTATAAAGTTGCAAGCATGTCAATATTAGCCATTAATTATGAAAAGGAAGGTGAGGATTAGAAGTTCTCATTCTAAGATGGGTTCTCCTAAGAACCCTTCCCACTTATATGAGTGTGTGTGTATGTGTGTGCATATGCATATGCTTACATATAATTGTGTGTGTGCATGCACACACTCACTCGCATATGTTGTGTCTAGTTGTATTCAATGACCATTCAGTGGAGCTCACATGTTAGCATACTAAAAGTATTACTACTTGTTTGTTTAAGTACTTCATTTTAAAGTATTTTTTATTGTTAGACTATTTTATTCTATTTATAGCTCAAATAATCTTTTAGAAAGTTGTTAATGTAACGGAAAGTTTTAATTTAGCCTGTTTATCTCTTGTGCTTTTGCCAAGGATTTTTTAAGCGTCTTTCATCATTTCATCTTGGGAATTCCATTTATTATAAGCTCTAAAGCCTTTATTAGAAGATAAAAAAAGAATGTTGTTGACTCTCTTGGTATTGATGTATATGCGCATATTTATTAGCAACTCACTTCGTTCTTAATTATAGAAAGTAGAATCTAAAAGTGTGAAACTGCTTTTGTATGTGTAATAATTTATTAATTTCCTTCAGGATTGGCTAGACATTGACTTTGGGATTGCAGAGGGTGTTGATTTTATTGCAGTATCATTTGTCAAATCTGCTGAAGTCATTAACCATCTTAAAAGTTATCTCAAAGCACGAGCTCATCATAAGTATGCTGTTTCATTTCTTTCTTAATCATGAGAAAAAATTACTATTAGCTCCGTTCCATTGAACATTGTCAAGTTTGTGTTAGTTGTGAAATAAGTGTGGTTGAGAGTGGTGAAGAGGAGAGAGAAATAAACAGAACCACAAATTATTTACTTTAAATGAAAAATGACAAAGTTTTTAGGACAAACAAAAAATGAAAATTGACGAGGTCCAATGGGACGGAGGGAGTATAATTTAAGTTGGATTTTTGTTTGATGTCCAAATGTCACCCCCTGACCTGGTGTATACATTGGTTTAAGACGTTGAAACCTCTGGAATACTTCCTTTTATTCCCATATTTGCCATCACCCCACACATCTATGAGAGATTATGGCGAGGCTTTCTTTCAAACAAGAAATGATACAAGACAGTTTATAGTAAAATATTTTGACTAGACCATAAAGAGTCAGGCCAGATCTCTAAAATAGTAAATATGACTGTTTATATAATAATTGTTGTTGTAGTGATATTGCTGTAATTGCCAAGATTGAGAGTATTGACTCATTGAAGAACTTAGAGGAAATTATTCAAGTGTCGGATGGAGCCATGGTGGCGAGAGGAGACCTTGGCGCTCAGATCCCATTGGAGCAGGTTCCGACGGAGCAGGAAACAATTGTTAAGCTCTGCAGACAGCTAAATAAACCTGTGATAGTTGCTTCACAGTTACTTGAGTCTATGATTGAATATCCCATTCCCACCAGAGCTGAAGTGGCTGATGTTTCTGAAGCAGTGGGACAAAGGGCAGATGCTTTGATGCTGTCGGGAGAGTCAGCCATGGGATTATTTCCTGACAAGGCTTTAACTGTGTTAAGAACTGTTAGCTTGAGAATTGAGAGGCAGTGGAGAGAGCAGAAGCAACATGAAGTAATGGAACTTCCATCTATTGCATCTTCCTTTGGAGATACCATATCAGAAGAAATTTGCAATTCTGCTGCCAAGATAGGTAAGAAATCTCCATTTTACATGTTTTTGTTATGAATATTTCACTGATAAATTTAATGAATGGTAATTGTAGACTTGCACCAAGTATGCAACTTATGTACATGAAAATGCTCCTGAAAAACTGTTTTGGATTAAACTTTTTATGAATTGTACATGAAATCACAAAATGTTTCAAGTTTTCAAACTAAAATGACAGCTAGTTATCCTTTTCAGGATTGAGAGTGAAAGTCTTTCATTGAATCATTAGATATTTTCTTATGGATTGCACGGAAATTTCTAATTTTTAACATCTAGCTCAGAACAAATTGAAGATCTAAATGTTGAAATTACCACTTGATTGGTGACACTTTAAAGAAAATCTGAATATTTGAAGTGGCTTAATCATATTGTGGTTGGGCGCATAGGACTTAAATTGTACCATATATAAATTGTACCATATACTGAAATTTGACTGAACACTTTCCATTTGTGATCCCTAAATGTTTCCTTGGGCTTCTGTAGTACACTGATGACTAGCTTCAGGTTGGGGGTGTCACTGGTAGTTGTATTCATTGGATGATAAACAGAAACCGTGACGGACTTTGGGGGTGAGCAAAGAGTGTAAGCACCCCTTGCACGAAGAATAACCACTACAACCACAAGTCCACAACAATAACAATAATTTTGGCTAGGTGTAGTTACCCCAATTAATACCATACATATCATTTTTAGTGTAAGTTTACATCACACGTGCATTTGATAACACTGATTTACTTTCGAATATGTCTTTTACCAATTGCTCATACCTAGCACCTTTCGAAACCTGCTTTTGATTTGAATGACTTGACTTAGCAGCAAAATTAATGCATTTTGATCATTCCACTTTCATTAGTCCGCATTTTTGACCAACTAAAAAATCACATAAGATTAATGCATTTTGATTGAATGATTGGTCCACTTTTATGACTCCTAATCATATGTGACTAATTAAAAAAATGCAGCTAATAATTTGGAGGCTGATGCTCTCTTTGTGTCCATTTTCATGACCCTAATCTTATGTGACTAATTAAAATGCAGCTAATAATTTGGAGGCTGATGCTCTCTTTGTGTACACCAAGACTGGGCACATGGCTTCTCTCTTATCACGCTGCCGTCCTGATTGCCCCATTTTTGCATTCACAACAACAACTTCAGTACGTAGGCGCCTGAACCTGCAATGGGGGTTGATCCCTTTCCGCTTGAGCTTCTCTGATGATATGGAAAACAACATCAACAAAACCTTTTCCCTGTTAAAGGCTCGGGGCATGATCAAATCAGGTGACCTGGTCGTTGCAGTTTCAGACATGTTGCAATCTATCCAAGTCATGAATGTTCCTTGAGACGCAAAAGAAAGTCTGCTTGGAATTGTCTGTTTTACCAGTAATCTGTGCTTGCCCAACTCTGTAGCTGGATCTTTCATGCATAGGGCAAGTTATTAGCCGTCTGTATGTATGTTAATGCTTCTTTGTTTTTCAACCTCTCTCCTTTTTTTAGAAATACCATTTTTTATTTGAAGCTAGTGAGGATTGTGAGGTTTATATTCAAAATGTGTTGAAAAAATTGATTAAGGTTCATTAGTTAATTATGCCTTCAGGCTTTCTTTTCTTTAAGAAAAAGTGCAAATAAAAAACAAGTTAATGACAAAAGATTAGGTAATAATTGATCTCCGAAATGAGAAATATAACATCTTAGGACAAAATTGTACACATAAAGACGGTCCATGTGTTGAGTTAGTTGGTCGCAGGTGTATTGCTACTGTTTGGCAGTTGGCACTCGCACTAGGCAGCGTTGGTGTTGGCTGGGCTAGGGATGGACTCAGGCCAGGTAAACCGAACCGGAACCGGCCCGCTGTAGGCCTGGGCTGGGCCCGGGCTCCAGGCTGGTTCATAACGGGCTTTCTGATTAACCCCTGACCCCCTCCCTCACCCCACCCCCAAAACCTCCCCAAAACACCCAGCCCTATCCAAGGGAAAGAAAAAAATTTGAAAAAAAAATTGAATCGGGCCTGGCCCGAACTGCCTGGGTCGGTTCATGAAAATCATGGCCCGAGCCTGGCTTGCCAGAACAGCCCAAACCGGGCTAAAGCCTGGAACCGGCCATCCGGGCCCCCACAGTAGCGGGCCGGTACGGTTTTGGGCCGGTTCGCCCCGGTTGGGTCCATCCCTAACATGCTGCTGGGCACTTGCAAGTGATGACGCTCAGACAATATAGTTGACTACACCTGATATTACTAACTAGGGATCTCACATGCTTAGGAGTTAGGAGTGTATCTTGTTTCATGAATCAGGTAAGAACCGGATAGGGATCGACTGGGCCCGGGTGGCCCGACTCGGGACTGACCCGGGACCGGTACTGTTGGTACCATCCTTGGCCCAATTTTTCAGCACTGGTATTGGCTCGGTACTTGGACTGATAGTTATAAGGGGCGGGCTTCAGGCTTGATTTTTTGGGCCTGGTCGGGAATCGATACCAGATAATTTATTTTTATTAAAAGTTTTGTAATTAAATGAGTGGGTACCGATCTGGACCCCACACTGTTTGGGGCCGGACCGGAACCAATACCGGATCATACAGGATTGGTACTGGGATCCACTTTTCTAGAATCGGTCCAGCTGGGTATTTATTTTACCTTGTGAAATAGCTACTTCAATTGTATGCCACACTTCCAGGATTAACTAGGGGATGATCTATTTCATTACCAAATTCTATGGATTCATCCAATGAATCCATATAAATGGGATGACGATAAACTTAAGTGCTTTCCCTACATCTTGAAAGGAGAGATAAGAAGGTGGTTTCTTGATTGAGCCATCACCTATGATCTAAACTATTTGGGAAGGTACTTATAATGCCTTTGTAGCCAACTGTTAAATCTCGTCCATGACACTAGAACTATGATGCACTTTTGGTGTCCTCGGCTTATGCGAAATATATGTTCGTATTACATATATGATGTAAGACTCAATTTTTTGTTGAGGGTGTAGCTTCCTTGTTTTATTTCATGCTACACGTAGCGTAAGTGCAGTGCCTTGACATTCCGAGCAGAGGATCAAGATATTGAAGTCATAAAATTTCTGTCACTTACGCTACACATGCTTGAAGTCATAAAATTTCTTTAATATTACTCGATTGCTTTAATATTGCATTTTGTTTTACCAACTTGTGCCCCATTTGATATTTTCTGTCACTAAACTCACTTTTCATCACATTAATAATTTAATATTTTAGAGTAAATAAATCTTACTCTACAATTAGTTTGTTAAACCAAGTCTTTTTTCTATTTTATAAAATCTGTTAACGTCCAACCAGTTCGAGTCGAATCGAGTAGAACTAGTGGAATCGTCCGAGCCGGATCGGGTGGGTGTTGCAGTGAAAGAAAATTGGGAGTGATCCAGATATACCACTTCCCACATTTAAACCCTCCACTTATGAAAAGTCTTGAGTTCAACTCACCAAGGAGCTGAATTTGGAAAGGCTTCTCTCAAATCGCAATCCTCTAATCGCAGAGCTGAATCCAATGGTCACACGATCTGTGTATCATATCACCTCAAACAACAATGTGAGACTTAACTTCTTGTTAGGAACCTGTTGGTCTGACAAATCATTGATGGTTCTCTCGTGAGCGGTGCTTGGAAATTGACAACACACACAACTAATCAATTAATTAAGGACACAATTACTTCACAGGTTACTAAACGTTGTTTATTAAGACTTGCGTTATTAAGCGGCACGTAAAATAAGCAGTGATATAAGTTCATGTCTACTTCACAAGATTTAAAACAATTTAACATTAAAATGTCCAAAAAAACCCTATACATACATAGACACACAAACATTTATGTACAAAAGTATATAATATAATATGTGGGGGCCACCACGTACGCGTCCCTAACCCCTACCATACCCAACCCCAAGTCCAACCCTACACATACCCCTACCACAACCCTACCCTTATCACAACCTTACCCCGTACCCCTACTCCCACGACCCTACCCTTACCCGTACCAGCCCTAACCTACCTAACCCCTTACCTACCCTCCACACCTACCACAACCATACCCCCTATACGTCCACCCCACACCCTACCCCTACCTGACCTGTTACCCTTGGGTTTGGGGCAGGGGTTAATGGGTGGGGGTAGGGGTAAGAGTACGTGTAACACCCCCGGCCCCGTAGGCCCTGAGGTAGTTACTTCTGACCACTCCCTCCAGACCTCTAGTACTATCCTCAGAAACCGCCACTAGCATTTTCCGCGCACTTTGTCCTCACTCGTGCGTGCCCTGAGAAACTTCCCAGGGGGTCACCCATCCCAAGACTGCTCCCGTGCAAGCACGCTTAACTTTGGAGTTCTTGGCTAATGAGATCCCTTAAAAGGAGATGCACCTTGTTGGTATGAGTAGTACTATTAATCCGTTTAAATTAAATCTCAAGTGTTACAGTACGAGTACGAGGTAGGGGACATGCGGTAACGGGGTCGGGGTGTGGGGTAGGGGGTCAAGGTAGGTAGAGGGGGGCATGTGGTAGGGGTAACCAGGGAGGGGAAAAGGTAGGGTCGGGGTAAAAGGTAGGGGGTAAGGGGTACGAGTACAGAGACAGGGGGTGGGGGGGTATGTTCGGGGTAAAGGACAGGTAGTGGGTGGTAACCAGGGAGGGGGAAAGGTAGGGTCAGAGTAGATGGTAGGGGTAAGGGGTACGAGTACAAAGACATAGGGGGTGGGGTGGTGGGGTGGGGGTATGTTCGGGGTAGGGGACAAGTGGGGCTGGGGTGAGTGTTGGTAGGGTAGGGGAAGGGTGTTTTAGGTACAGGGATATGTAGGAGGGGTAGAGGAGGTTAGGTGTAAAGTGGGGTAGGTGTAAGGGTACACACATGTGGGTAGAGATAAGGTTAGGGATACGAGGGATGGGTAGGTAGGGGCGAGGTCAGGTTGGGGTCTGAGAAAGGTGAGGACGGGGTAGTAGGTTAGGGTAGGGTAGGATAGGGGTAGCAATAAGGAGTAAGGGTAAACTTGAAAACTGAAAAAGTTTTAAAAAATACGATAGGTAACCCATTTTTACCCCCCCCCCCCCTCCCCATTTGTGTGACTCAAATGGGGCAATTCATTTAAATGGGGCAACTCATTTAAATTGTGGCCTCATTTGAATCACACAAAGTGTGGAGTAAAAATGGGGTACCCCAAAATGGGGTACACCCAGCATTGCTCAAAGTTTAAAGTGCTGCTTAATTAATATAGCGGGGTGGTATGCTTAGTAAGCGACAGTTTAAGCATATCTTTCGGTCAGTAAGCAGGTTTGAAGCAACCTGTGTGTTTACTTCACCTATCTTACTAATCTAATTTTGACTTTAGCAGCAAGTAAATACGTCCTAAGTGTATTACTTGTACACGATGATGTACAGATGTGTCACGCCCCAGACCTATCCGGACACGTCAACAATCCGCCGTACATTATGAGTAGTCAACCGCAGTCTAATTCATCCATATTATACAAGGCGTCTCGAATATCATTCACACATAAGTCATCCATAAACATACATAATAAGTAATTGAATACACATCGGAAATCATAGTTTTGAAAACAAATGCCACACAGGGCAAACACGAGCACGCATGCTCCATAATGAAAAACAATATCCATGAGCATGTTTAAATTGTTTAAAAACAGAATGGAGGAAGCACGAACCAAGTCTTCCCTCCGAGATGATCGCTCGATCAACAAGCACAGGTCGCAAGCTCTAGTCTCAACCTGAAATTGTGGTGGGACGCCCCCCGAAAGGGGATCAGTACTCTATACGGCTATAAATTACTAGTGTGGATGACATCTAATAGATATACAACAAGTATTTCAAACACAAGACCCTCAAATAGGGTGATAATATAATCTAGGCCGTAACCCCAAGTTACCCTTTTCAAAATATACTTACTTTATATATAAAGTCAAGTAGTCGGCCCCTAGGCCCAAGGTTTGTTTACAAAACATAACCCAACCCCGTGACCCCTAGTCACGACAATACATAGGGTCCAACCCTAACACATATGTTTGCATTTCTTGAGTCCAACTCAACCAATCACCATGCACATCAATCATAAGTTAATTACTCCACCAATCTCCGACGTCATGTTCACCCATACAATTCTAGAGCATCGGGCTCAAGTACATCTCCTTACATGGGCTGAACCTAAACCTCATGTCTACCCAATGCAATTCTAGAGCGTGGGCTCAAGTACATCTCCTTACATTGGCATAGACCCCAATTCCTAAGCACTCGCTATGCCTAGAATTGTAATATCAAAAATCTATTTTGGGACATGCTTACGGACTGCCTCATCATGATCTTAGCATCACATTACATCAATTTAGTCACTTGCATCACAATCAAGTACATCAATTACAATCAAATCCTTAGATTCAATTCCTTAACATTTACAACAATCATTAACTAGTAGTTCAATACTATTAAGATTATTCTGATCCATCATATATTCCATTTGTAAATCACTACATATTTAGAGATATGTAGCATCAACTTAATCATCCAATGTAATACATAAATAATCATTTATGTATCTACACAATTCACACATGAGTAAAAATGCCTATTTCACACAATACTTCATTTAACTCCATTTTTATCAATACATT